CACTGATATTTCACGAAAGATTCTAGACTTCCTTTTTTTTTGGAACTTGAATATCTCGTGAAGAGAACATTTGTTTGAGCCGAAATTTTCAGAGCATCCTACTCATAAATAGACCTGCCTATGGACGAAATCTCAGGTTGAAATATCATCATTCAATTTTTTGGTATATACCGTGGTAAAGACTAAAATCCCAGTAAAATGCCTATAATTCGGAACAGAAGACCCATGGGTATTTGTCATTTTGGAGTTTTTCATACCTCAATAGGGTCTATCAAATCCATGAAGTCCGATCCGAAAAGCGATTTATCAGTTGGGTATGCTCCCTCGTGAGTTCAAACTTGAATTATTCGACTACGCTTTGTATTGAATCGAAAAGCAAAGCGAAATCTACCAAACTATGTGTGCTTCAAATTAAACATGGTGCATTGTCTAGCTAAAATAAAAGCATGTTTTTCATGTTGTTCTTAGACATCGACTAGTTCAAATATTCTAAAAAACACATTACATAGTTTTAAAACAAAACGAAAATGTTCAGATCTCTATCTAAAAACAAAACATCAAGTATTCATAGGAGGAAATCTAATGTTTTGCTTGAGAATTTCTTGAAAATGCAATATCTTGACAGTAATCAACTACTAGACTAAAATATTTTCGGGATAACAGTTTATAATCAAGATCAACAAGATGTACATCGACTTAATGCAAAAATGATTAATGTCATTGATCATCATCAATGGTCGATTAAAATAACGACTAGAAAAAATTGTTTTTATTCATATTCAAAATCAATGATTCATGGTTAGAATTGGAATAGATTTTTCGAATAAACTCTGTTACATAAATGATTGTTTCTATTTAACTTACAAGCATTGTTTTTTATACTGTTAAATTATTATTGGTAAAGAATTATTTTTAATTTTATGAAAGAAAAAGAAAATATTTTCTGCAGGTTTTATCTACTACTTGACTTTTTCTATTTGTCTAGCATGAATACAAATTTCAAATACTTTACTTGAAGTTCATTTGGTTGAATCAAGGCAAGTTGAAGATTTGGTGAAATTTGTTTTTTTGAGATAGTTGAAGAAATTGTTTTAAAATCTGGTGGCAACGATGATTTTTCTCCGGTTTTTCCTTTAAATACTTGTGCAATTATTTCAGAAGATGGTGATGTATTCCTGTGTTTGTGTTTAACATGACGATTTAATAATTGTTCAGCTGTAACAACAGTTGTTCGATGCGATAAATTATTAAATGATTGACTTTTTCTTAGGCCAAGTTTTTGTTTTTCCATATTTGAATTAGGGCGAACTGTTTTTTTTGTATGACTTTTATGATTCAAAGATGATTCGTATACCGTTTCTTGTTGATCATTTTGTTTCTTAGGATATGCAGTTGTTAATTGGGAATGCTTTTGAAAATTTGGTTTTTCTTCACTAGAAATATGAGGAACATTCTTACCAGTAATGTATCTTTGTTGATCCGATATTGTAGCCGTTCGGATACGCTTTGAATCGTAGTTTTGATCATTTAATGATGGTGCATGTTTTTGTTGATGTTTTTCTGTTGATGTTTTCGAACCCATTGGTAATTTTTTCTTTCATTAAATGATTTGACATCGAAAAAAAGAAGAAAAAAGGAAGAAAATAAATATATTTGTCATCATTCGAAAGTCAAGCAAGTGTGACCATGTGATACTTTTCATTATTCATGACGTCTATGTTTTTCACCGGTCTCATTTAAATAAAATTAATGATGAGATTCACCCATCAATATATATCACATGCATGTCACTGGTTGTTTTTTCTTTCTTAATTATCATCAGAGAATATAATTGACTCTGTAGTTGGTCAACATTCTCCTATTTAATAAGTAATTAACTCAAACAGAACTAGAACCGATCCCATTCTGATGAATTTTTCAATGCACTGAAACTAATATATTTTGCTTGTTTTTATTAATTTTCTGAGCTTTAAAAGCAACGAAAGATTTGAGTTAAGAAAGTCTTCAATTTGAAAATATGAAGTCATGATTTAAATAGTAGCTTGAAATGTTGAGCTTACAGTAAACATCTATTACAATCGAATACATGTCATCGTCGTTTTATTTCACTATCTATTTCAGATTTATTAGTCATTGGAAATTGTTTATGGTTAGTATCCCGTTCATCTTTAATCGAGATTAAATGCGCTACTTTCAATTGATACTCAAGATATCGTCATCGACCAGTTCGCTGATTATGTTTAGTTTATAATTTTCTACTTCCTGTCGTTCTGTTTAGAGATTTGCAGATGTGCATGAAAGTGCATATTATGAACAAACGTTTTTCTTATCTCCTTTATTACATGTATGTCGTCTTCGTTTTAGGAGATACATATATGAAATTTTAGATGATCACCCTGTTTGTCCACATGTTAAAGATTTTTTGCCTAATCAAATCAATCTTTCTATCACATTTACTGGAACATTTTTTACAGCTGCAACACCTCAACTATTTGCTGAGCAATCCATGGCCACCTACTACACTTCCACTAAAATGTGTTACTAATAGGTAAGTGTCTTTTATAAAATCATACTGTGAAAATGATAGAACCTTTGTGGCATTATTTTATTTCGCAAGCACGACCCAATCAGACAAGCGTTGAGAAAAACGGTATTTTTTCGCATAGAAAGCGCATACTCTAACGTTTCATGCAATTTGAGTTTGTTTCGGAAAATAAACGAAACTTGTGAATGACAACATTGAGAAAATCATTTGATATAAAACAAAAAAAGCGTTTCAACGGATCAAAATATGCGCTTTTTACGCGTAAAAACTCCTGGTTCTCAATGCTTGTCTGACTCGGGATTGATCAGAAACATGATAAAACATTGATGTAGATTCTTTTTTTTAATTAATCTTTTTTACGCAACGCATTAAATGACACAAAAGAGAACACCACAAAATGTGATAGGCAGTTTTTGTTTTTTTGTTGCTCATTAAACGACTGCTTTTGCACTTTTAGAAACAAAGTAGCAGTATTGCCTTCATCTCAATTTCGTGTAGAAAGCTCGGGAAACCTTTGTTTTTTTTATGTATTGATAGTATAAAGTATGTTCCATTTTATATCATTGTAAAAGATAAGATTCTCGCTAAAATATGTAATACATATATTGAATTGTATCTCACATGAGTAGAAAAAATACGGATGTACATGAACGAACATAATGAAACTATTTGATTTTTTTTTCAATTAGGAAAAAAGATCTTTTTTCCGAAGAAAATTTGCATTAAAATATGAAAATATGAACCCCTCTAATAAAACAAATATTATCAGTTAATTATATATTGAGTCAATTTTCATTTTATAGAATTTTCGATGAAATCTATTTTTTTCTCTGGATGATATACTGGTAATGTTGAATTTTATTATAGATTTAACAATAAAAATGAAAAAAAAGTAATTGCTCAATGAGAGAAAATCTCATAGAGAATAACAACCAGAATATATTCTGCTTTTTTTTTGGTGAAAAACAACGCGTATTCACAATTCAATATTGACCGATTTCAATGAATTCATAATCCATTTTGGAATATCTTTATCTTGATAATAAATTGAAACAAATTCTTTTATAAAATCTGGAAAACGTTGTTCAATAATAGCTTGACGAATTCGAGACATTAGTCTCATCTAAATTTTGACAAATATTAAATAATCAAAATTATGCTTTTAAATAGATTAAACCTGATATGAAACATTATGAATTGTAAGTAAATGACATGCAGTAGTTTCTTTATTAACAATTGTATTAAGATATGATCTTGTATAACCAGATTTACACACAGGACAAATACATTGATCATCAATTAAACGGTGATCTTTTTCATATATTTGTTTATTTAAGTTTAATTGTCCACTGTCAACCAATGCACAACCAAAACGCTTTTTCAAAAGTTAATAAATTGAAAATAAATAACTGATGAAATAAAACTTACAGCGGTCCTTGTTGGAAAAACACAGTCAAACATATCACAGCCAAGAGCTGAACAAACAACCAGATCAATGGCAAAACTATTAAAGAAAAAAGAAATCGAAATGTTAAATAAACAAATCAATAAATAAACAAACCCAACACCCATTAAATATCTTGGTTTATCTTTCGGCAAATGGTCGGTTGAAAGAGTGACCATACGCCAAAAATGATCTTTATCTTCTCCACCACTTAATCCACCTATTGCATAACCGGGACAATTACGTTTCACTATTTCTATTAGGAAAAAAGATTAATCATATGAAAATAATTTTGATTTTTTGAAAATTAAACCCCGATAGGAAGTACCTTTAACACTTTGTTCTCGTAGCTTTTCATCGAGACCACCTTGGACAATTGGAAAAAGACTTTGTTCGTCCGGACGAGAATGTGCTGATATACATCGATCAAGCCATCTTAGTGATCTTGGATATTTTTATAGTTAACTTTAAAGAAAATGAAAAAACAAATGAACATCAGACCTCCACATAGCTTCTTCAACTCTTGGGCCACTTATTGTGCTTGATACTACATCATCTAATTGCATCATAATATCAGCTCCTATTGAAATAGAAGGAAAAATGTTTGTTCGATTGACACATACGGTTTTTACTGTGAATACCGAAATAAAAACAAAACTAGGAAAGGCTTTCAATCTGCTTATGAATTTAAAAATAATTAAAATTTCATGTTTTTGAAGAAACAAATACTTTTTTCATGTAAATTCAAATCATTAATTATTTTAATCGATTTTATCCTAAATTTCAGTTACATCCATGGTTGTATTTCAATTGTCAAACATGAACATTAGCTGATTAAATAGAGAACAAACGAGATCTTACCAATGATATTTTGAATTTCGATTGATTTTTCAGGTGTCAATAACATTTCAGTTTGATCGTGTGGTGATTGAAATTTAACACCTTCTTCAGTTACTTCCGACAATTTAACAAGAGATACCATTTGAAAACCACCAGAATCCTACATTTTGGTCTTGCACATTAAAAACGAAGAAAGCAAAGAAAACTTACTGTTAAAAGTCCTCCATCCCAATGCATGAACGAATGAAGACCACCCATTTCTTTTAATAAGTCAGGACCCTTATAATTAAAGAAAAATCAAATTGACACATGAAGGGAAAAAAACATCTTTTTATACGTTACTGGTCTGTGTCCTAAATGATATGTATTACCAAGAATAATACGACAATTAAGTTGATGTAACTGTTCAGGTGTCAATCCTTTTAATGTTCCTTGTGTCCCAACTGGCATAAAAACAGGTGTTTCAATTGGACCTCGAGATGTATGATTTCGACCAAATTTTAAACAACCTACACGAGCTTTTGTTGTATTACACATATGAGTGACTTGAAAATTCAGTGCTTTCGACGTCATCTTCGATATTGGGTAATTTTTTGACAAAATATTTAACATACAGTTTCGAGAAATTCTTTTAATAAATTAATTCTCTAATATATATACATATAATCATATCACTGACAGCAATGACTAGAATATGCCACTAATAAGAATATAATCAATAGAGGACGCAATCAATCAGTTTTAGATTAAAGATTCAAAAACTTGTTTGTGCTTCACATTTTATCTTTTCATAGAAAATAGTTTATTCTATTTTTATCGTAGCAAACTCTACAGTCAATCTGAAATGTTGATGTTTTTATTTAATACCAAATTAATTTTTCATTTTAATAAACCAATTTTCGAAAATACTAAAGTATAGTTGGTTAAATTTCCTTTTTTTATACGATTTCATCGTACAAAATGAAAAAGTTCGCATTCTTGAATTTGTTTATTTGTCTAATTTACTTTTCAAGTGTAATGAATCGTTAGATCAAATAGACAACAGTATTACCTCGCGTCAGTTGTTCCGACCGCTGGAAACAACTATAAAACGGGGTGAGACTGTGAATTTAAGGTGAGAAAACTAACACTAGTATTTGAGAGAGCATTCAGGAGTGTAACTCAGCTTTCAAAGCAGGATGGGGGAGTCTTGCTCCGATAGCCCACCTGAGAACATTTTTAGGCTGGCGTGGCATCATCAATGGTTTTCAAGAATGTTGAAGGCTAACTTGGCCCTCGTCTTTCACTCTGGTCATCATTCATATCGATAAGGTTGGTTCCTATTCAGGTTAACATTAAAATGTTTTATTAACTTTGGTCACAATCGTCGAGACGAAACTTCGCTTTTAAGTAGCCATGTCCTTTTCTTCATTCTATGCTATTCTTCCATATTTTGAATGGATATAAATCTATATGAACGATCTTGATCCGTTAATAGTCTGAATCTCATACTATGAGTAACCCTTTTGATAGATGTACCAGAAGTAAGAATAACAACAATCAGTTGTCTATCTAGGAAAAACGTTTTTCTGATTTCGGTTATCTGATTCATGAAATTGTCTGAAATCTCCTTAGTTCTAAAATGGCATAAAACGTCTGTATGAATGATCTTCAATTCATATTAGCTCTAAAATCAATACAAATGAACGTAAACTCAGAAGCCATGTATCCCTTGATCTAATATTGGTAGAATTAAACTTGGAAATATTTTTTCAAACGTTAAGTTTAAAATTTTATGTGTATTTTGCTATTTTCAATAGTTATTAAAATTATTTTTTCGAAATCAATAGGTTCAATAGAACAAAATTGAAGAGTTCCTACAAGACATACGAGATTAATGTCACAACTCCTCGTAAATATAAGAATGCGTACACTTCTGTAGAATTTGATGTGTTCGACAGCCTATAGAAGTTATTAAAAGATTCTGATTTTTAGGAATAGAATCAATCAACGACTGTTATCGTAATTTTAAATATAGTATATTGGTTGATAATAAATATATTCATCAAAGTTAACTTTCAAAAGAGAATTGATGACCCAGGAGGAAAAAAACGGCATGTCTACAGTTGTCAAGCGTTAAATACGGTTCGTAAACTAGGTCCATGATTTACAACCGTATTTCAATGGAAATACGATGGAAGTACCGGGAAAATGCGCCGAAAATATTTTTCTAAATCATAAGCTTGGATTCCGATGGAACAAGGTATCAACACAGTCGTTTACGGTGAAGTTATAGTAATTTACATAGGTGTGTAACGTTCCTCCTGGGTAGCTATCTATCCCATTTTGGTGAGAAAAAAACAGAATTTTGATCTGAGATCGGAACCATCTAGAAAATTCCAACACGCCAGAGAAATATTAGGAGTTATTTCATATTGTCATTGATAGATATTTTAGCTTCATTGTGTATGGATCTGTATGCGTATAAGATATTTGAACAAAAAAACCTATGCATAAAACATACTCATTTTCAATGTCGTATACTATACCCTTGTTCTTCTACTGCCGCTATCGAGTAAATGTAAACATTAGAGATGGGATCGGTTGGCATTTTTTCCTAATCGGGCCGAACCACACCGAAAAAATATTTAACCGAATCGAACTTAACCGGGTGCATATGTCAAACATTTAAAATTGAATTGAACTTAGAGAAGCGACATTTATCTTATGTAGATTAAGGCAAAACCCGCTCTCCTTCTTTCCCCTTCCAAAACCTACTCTCTCAAAGGATGCTTATCAAAATTGCAATAATCAGAAAAAGTAAGTTTGTAAAACAGTGAAGATAGCTGGATGAATATGATGAATTTTTTCTAGCGATAGAAAATATGACCTCTAAAACGAGCTGACGGATTACGGCAAAAATGAATGTTGTATTACATCGTTTTATATCCACGTCAGGCTGTATATGACCCCATTTCAGATAGTTGGAATGATCGGCATGGAATGGTGATATAATTACTGTGTTTCTATTATATTTCTTATGATTTCATTTCAACATTCGTTTGTTTTTGGAGGTCTCGAAGCAGATTGAATTTTCAAATGCCCTAAAAAATGGTATATGCTGATGCTGACCTGTCAGTTTTCAACCTGAAGACTATGATCTGTATAGCACTTGTGAATATGTGCTTGTAATTATTTCAGCCTTTATTTTTATTGATTTGTTTTCATTGCTATAGGATGATAAAAGACCCAATTCAACTTTGAGTATAAAATGAGAGTCGTGAACGAAAATTTGTGGTAGATACCATTGTTGCTGTTATATACAATCAAAAATAGTTGCTTCAGTAGGAGATCATTAATTAAACAAACAATAGAGATGATTTTTTTTATATGTATAAGAATCCAAGTCGAACAATCAAGTAAACCACTAACAGATGATTCAAAACCATATGGATCTACAATTATGAATACTGTATTAATATCTGATGTTTGTCTTTGATTATTATCAGTGTTTTCAGTATTGTGTTCTCTCTATCCGATGAACGTCTAAATAATATTTTAAATCGAGTTGAACAAATAGAATATACGCATAAATTAAGAAGTTAAACGTGATTGAGAACAACACACAATTTCATGCGATATTTTTATTACTAGATGATGATCGTACTACTATTTTTAAAGTACAAGATTAAACACTCAGCAAAGTATTTCAAAAATTTTAATTTTTCAGTTTTTTCTTATTCTCTTAGATCATTATATTAAATTCTAAAATGCATATGCATTTGTATAGCTTATTGACCTTTCCTAAATTCTTTCTATACATATGGTGATGTGAAACTAATACTAATGACTGATTCAGGCGTTACAATATCACGCAACATATTGCTTATTCAATCAACTTGTATGTATTAAACCAACTGCGTTTCAGATGTGAGTATTTCGTTGGAGAGTTAGATTATACTTCTCAATCGTTAAAAATTTTCATCCAACACATCTATACTTTCAAAATTAGGAAAATAATCTTCTGCGTACAGTATTTGCCTACTTCATGTACGACAAAAATCAATCGTCTTCTCTGGTCTTTCCGATGTAGGAGACACTACATGATCTACTTTAAGCGACGTTTGTTGATGTACATATGAACGTCGAATTCTCTCTATGATATCACAAGTAATAAAACTACTCGCTCGTTCTGCTGAAACCAGAATGAGAGACTCGGTGATTAAATCTGATTGAAAAGAAGATTTTGTATTTTACTGAATTGAATCTAATGGATCCCTTCACACCAATATCGAGTGGTGAGATCTGACAAACGAGAATCTGAATGAAATTATGAGTTTTGGGGATCTGGTTGCCCAATTCCTGTCGCTGTTGAGATCTACAATGCTTTCCCAATAGCACGAGTTGATATTCAATAAATACATCCAGTATACCGATTTTATCAGTTCCGCAACAGTTTTCTATAGTTTTGAAACAGTCCATCCTAACTCTCATAGCATGAAAACTTTCAACAAAATTTTACTATTGTTTTAGGGATGTTAGTGAGTATAGAGTCGGATGCACTCACTAGCAATTTTTTGAGTTGTCAAGTATTCATGGTAACCGGTATCTTGAGACTAACATTTTGCTACTGAGTTTCCAGCCTAAAATCTATGAACAAGGCAGCATAGTTTGAATCATATCATTCTAATAGTTCGTGATATCATGATGAAATTCAATTTAACAATAAACAGACAAGACAAAGTACGAATGAAATATACTTAAATCAGTTGTAAAATATTTGAATTATCCATTCTTATAAAGTTGTTGTAAGAGAAATTTTATTGGCTCATTTAAAAAAGACAAAAAAATCTGTTTCTTTGATATTTAAATGAATAAAGTTAAATTTCGATTTTAATTTTAGGTTGCTACGTTACTATTTAATGATTCATGTTGAAATAACTCTAGATATTGGTGTCTAATTAATTCATTATTATCCCATTCAAATTGAAATGTATCTTGTTTCGTTATTTTGTTTCTAAGATTATCTGGTTTTTGACAATATTCTTTTAATTTGTTAAATAATTGCGTTTTTGTTCTATATCGATGTTGTTCATTGGGATAAAGTTCTGTATAAGCTAATCTATCTGGTACAATAGGAATGCACCCAGCTCTACAAGCTTCTAACATAGCAACACCGAAAAATTCATGTAGAGCTGTTGATACAACAACATCACCTTCCCTTAATAATTTTTCATAGTCAGATTTCGATTCTATAAAACCCCAATGGCGTATATAATTTGATGGTAATCTAGATAAAACTTCTGAAAATATTGATGGTTGTTCACCATATGATTGACCAAGAATAATTAACTTAAATTCTAATGAATACGTTTCATAAAGTTCAAGAATCACAGAAAAAAATGTTTCTGGATCTTTATCGTGTTCCCAACGATGTGGCCAAACAATACATAATGGACCTGTTTTCTCAGTATTTATCTTCACAAATAAATTTAAAAATAAAAATAAAAATAAAAACGAATTTCATTTTTATCTAATTGAAATAGAATTTAAAATAATCTAACCTGAATTGATAAAGTTGGTTTATCTAACGGATAATAAAAGACTTTAGATTTATTTGCAATTTTTTGTCGAATTTGTTGAGTATTTGGTTTCGGTGATGGAATTCGATTCAGAAAAGGTCCAAGTTTATCAAGAAATGTATTTAAATTATACAAAGAATTAAATAAACAAATATCAGCAACTAATGCTGTTAAAATTTGATTATAACCATATTGAAAATCTCGTTTTTCTTGTTGTTCATTTTGTTTTGGATAAGCTAAATCATTTTCATGGAAGTAAATTATTTTTTTTGCTGAAAGAAGATCAACACGAAGAGATATCAATTCACTTAAATTAACAATCGATGAGCTAAATACATATTTGAATGAATTTTCATTGTTTGGTATTAAATCTGATAGAATTAATGATGAACATCGAGCGCGCCATGGCCATTTGTTACCTGGTAAGGTTATTAACATCGAACGGGGTGATAATACTCGATGAAGAAGATCTATTAATGAACGATGAGAACCATCATAAAATCCTTCAATTAATAATATGTCAGCCATCGAAAATTATTTTTATTTTTAATCTAAAAAACAAACAACAACAACAAAAAGAAATATATTCAACTGATCATTGAGTAATCTCTGTTGATATTAATTTTTCCTCGATGTGATCGATTTGAATAATTAAATGGATAGCATTGAATTAAAATAATTTGTTTGAAGAACAAATATTTGTTGATGTCAAATTCACAAAGTTTTATCTTTCATCTTTCACTGCTCGATATTATCAAAGAAAAACTTCTGCGCCTAGCAATAATAGTTATCAGGAGAATCTATCAGACATTATAGTTTTCCTTTTTTGGGCAGATAATTTATTTGTAGAAACGCAAAAGTTTGTGATTCATACAAGTAAAAACTTCAGAATTTTTGAAGTTCTAACGATTATTGCATTATAGAATTGATTCAACAAAACATATGTATGCTTTTCGCTGGTGTTCTCTTCATTCTTTTAATATATTTTTTCTACAATTTCTAATTTTGCATAACTTAACATTGTTTAAAAATCAAAATGTACTATAATATTCACTGTGCTATCTAGTAGATTTATTTTCATTAAGTATTTGCGTGTATTATTGATCATAAATATCTAAAGTAGTAATTTAACAATGTAAAATCGTTGGAGAATAAGTTCGAATTTGTCAATTGATAAATCTTTTTCAAAATTCCACTTAATTATAAACAAAATAAACATTATGACTATAGAGAAATCCATTAGAATTCGTTTTTCATTGGCATGATCATAGGAATAAAAAGGCGGCTAGAGATGATTGATTTTTGTTTTTTGTAAGATCGATTTCTCAAACATAAATAATATTGATGTATGTATTTGTGAATCTGTATCTAACACAGAAATGCAAAGATTATAACCATTCTGTGTGATTGAAACAAAAAAATTGTAAAATTTTCTTTTTTAAAAGTAAAAGATATGTTTTTCAATGTGCGATATTCATAATTATGATATTTTCTTAAATAATTTCCATGAAAATAAAAGATAATCTTATGAAACATTTATATGTACATACATATACAATTACAATAAAAAGAAGAAAATAAAATTGAATAGTAGTTTAGTCCATATTATTATTATTAGTGTCTAAAGAGTTGGATGTTTGTAGTCTTCTTTGTAAATGTTCAATATTTTGATTAATAATAAATGCTGGACTCGATGAAGTTCTAGAACGAGCTAAATTATATTGAGATGATGATAATAATGCACTTGTTGTTGGTTTTTCTTTCTTTGAATAAAATCTAATATTTCGATTTAAAGCTCTTTCTTCATTCATTTCAAGTGATGATTCACTTTCGCTTAATTGTTTATAAAGTTGTTCTCGGCGATCAACTTCAATTTGTAATTTTCTGCGTAAACGTAAATTTTCGTTTTTAGCATTTTGCTCGTCTAACATAAGTTCTTCTATTCGTTTTTTATGCATTTCTTGTTGGACATTTAATTCTTGGCGAAGTTTTTCAGCTTCATGCTTCAGTTGTCGAGCATAATTATTATTTGATGAGAAATTATCACAAATCGAATTTGATTCAAGCAATGAATTAGATCGAATATTGAGTCTTTCATCAATAGTTAAATCTGTTGAAGATGATGGATCACTTTTCTACAATAGATTGAACATTTTTCTTTAATTAAAATAAGAATTTTTAAAATTTTTCTTCACTATTATTTCATCTTGAATAGATGAAATAAAAAATAAGTTATTCTAGAGTCATATTATCTTTTTTGGTTTATTTATGTTATGATAGCATAAATATGCATTGTGATTTTAAACATGAGATTCTCTAATTGGGTATCATTAATTGTAACTGTTGACGTATTCTCTTCAATATGTACATAATAATCAATAGCATCGTCAAGATTTACTCTTTCAAAAAAGAATCAGATCATTGTCAAACAGCTGATCAGATATTAGAGTGCTAATATTTTGTTGTACTTCGAAATTTTAAATCCTTTGGAGAAAACAATTTTCTTTAATTTGTTTTTTTTCATCAGTTACTATTCATTGTAGATATCTCTAACAGATCTTTCTGTCTCTATATTGATATTTGCACGAAAAAACAATTTATGTCAAAAATTAAGTTTATTGAAGATTGATATTAAATTGAAGAACACTTTAATTCTTACTGTATTATATGAATGAGATTGTGGTTGTTGAATTTTTAATTGAAGTAGTTTTTTATCTTTTTCTAATTTTTTCATTCTTTTCCATAAGTTATTAACTAAATATTCTTGTTCTTTTCCCAGTATGTTTTCTAGTTCAATTTTTTCATTTTTCAATTGTTCCTAAAGAAGAAAAATTACCAAAAAAAAAAACATAAAAATAAACGAAAGTCAAAGAGGTAATTTACAAGAGTAATTTGTTTATTAGTAATCTCAGCTTCTAAGCGTTGAATTCTTTTAATTAATTGATTAATTTGTGCAGCTTGCTCTTGTTCCAATGATTTTTCTAAATAAAATTTTTCTTCTCTAATTTTTAGTAATCTTTTTGATAAATCATTAGTTAAAAATTCTTCTTCGCGTTCATAATTATTTGCTAAAGTTTCTTTTTCTTTCTTTAATTCTTTAATTTTTTTAAAAAGTGTATTTGAAATAAATTCTTCTTCTTGTTCAGTTTTAACTTGTATATTAACACTTGAACTTAAAAAGAAAATCCTCTTTTTATTACTTAAAAAAAAGAAAATATTCTACGAACTGTTTTAATTGTTTAATTTCCTGTTGTGAAGCTTTTAAACGTAGTTTATATGTTTGAGCTTCAATTTGAAGAACACGATTTTCTTGTGCTAAAGAATCAATACGTTTAATTAAGTGTTCACAACTTAACTTTGATTCATTTTGATTTGTTGTTGCACAACCAGCTATTGATGAAACATCCGATTCACATTCACTATCAGTTTGCATTGATTGAATGATACGAAATCAATCGTTGTGAAAAATGTTTTTTTAATTTTTCAGTTTCTTGAATTTTTTTATAACAAAATTCAAATTTACTTTTCATTACTCATTATTGATTAGTTATTAATCAATGACTAGAATTTCACTGTCAATATTGAATATGTGCTCAATAAAATAAAAAAATAGTACTTTCTTTGATTAAAGCATTCTGACATTCTAATCTTCAATCTGATAGGATAAATAAAACGTTAATGCACCTTGAGTATTTTTTTAAATTTAATCGTATATGTTTTTTTTTCAAATATAAATAGTTGAAAAGTTGAAATATTAAATAAAAAAATGATATGCTTGTGAACGATATTAGCGCTTAGGTATTTATTGGATGATGGATTTTGCCAACATTGTTTTTCTTTGTACAATGAAATTGTGACTCGTTTGATCCGAGTTTAATTATTCTACAACATTAAGATACTCACCATTCTTTTCGAAATAGCATAACAAATCTAATGTCGAAATATCAATTAGGATCAATTATTTTTTTCGTAAGACAAATTATTTCTCATGTTAGTAGTAAAAAAAACAAAATCTAAATATATTGTTTAGGTATCTTATTATTTAATATTTGTGAATGGTGGTGCTATTCAATTAACAAGTAGTAATATTGATTCTATTCTTTGTAAGTTAAATATCTATTATTTAAATCTAATTTAAAATTAAATTATTTAGCATCGTATGATATTGTTTTTGTTAATTTTTATGCAAATTGGTGTCGATTTAGTCAAATGCTTGATCCTATTTATAACGAACTTGCTGATAAAATTACAAAAGAATTTCCTGTATGCAATTTTATTCTTTTTTTCAATAAAATATTGTTTTGCTTTTGTTACTGTTTTATTTTAATGAAGCAATCAGGCGTTGTTGCCATTGGAAAAGTTGACTGTGATTCTGATAATGCAATTTCAACCAAATATAATGTTAATAAATATCCAACATTAAAATTATTTCGACATGGAATCATGACTAAACGAGAATATCGTGGAGCAAGGTTGGCTTTTCTTATATAAATATAAATATATATATATTGTTTATTGTTATAAAATAAATCTTTTATTTTATTTAGACAAGTTGATGCTTTTTTTGATTTCATTCGTAAACAAGTTGAATCATCAATAATGAAAATATCTACACCAAGTGATTTGATAACAATAGATTCAAAAAAACGTTATATTATTGGACATTTTGATGATGAAAACTCAGAAAACTATAGAACATTTACAAAAATAGCAAGCCTTCTTAGAGATGAATGTAATTTTGTTGCGTCAACAAATAAGTAAGTGTTCAATTGCTATCTTTTTTTAAGTCTCTAATTTGAACAAGTCTCTTCCAGAAGACATTTTCTCACTACCAACATTTTATTAAGTTCCATTTCTTTGAACAAAGAATGAAGATATATTTACAAAAGAAAACACTTCCATTAATATATTTCATATTTTCGGTATGCAAAGTTGGAGAATCTATATAAAAAAAAAGTCATTTTAAATTTATTTTTAAATAATAATACTGAATTAAAGTTTTTAAATGAAATTATATTTGAACAAAACAATTTTTCATTAAAATTCTTTTTGAAAACAATAAGCTCAATCATTTATTTCTCTTTCAAAATGTGATAAATATGTTTTTTTGAAAACTATATTACTTTGAATTATTTATGTAACTATAAGAATATAAGATAATATTTTTATTCATTAAAAGTTACAAATTCAAAATAATATCAATAGAATCGAAATAGTGATGATAATTATTTAATATAAAACAACTTGTTGTTTTACTCAACTCAATATATTTAAATAAATTACAAAAATTTTCGTTTTAGAGATGAATTCAAAAATGAACGTCCATTAACTGATGTTGTATATTATCGTCCTTCGGAAACATTAAATGAAAAAGAAATTTATTACATTGGTTCAATAAATGAACAGGAATCTTTAATAACTTGGTCTCGTGAAAAATGTATTCCATTAGTTCGTGAAATAACATTTTCAAATGCTGAAGAATTAACTGATGAAGGTTTACCATTTCTTATCTTATTTCACAAAGCTGATGATCTTCAATCTGTTGCTTTATTTGAACGTGAAGTTGCCAAACAACTGCTTAATGAAAGATGTAAATAATTTTTTCTTTTTATTAATAAAAATAATGTTTGAATTTTAAATTTCTTTTCAGCAAGTATCAATTGTTTACATGCCGATGGAGCTCAATTTATTCATCCACTTCAACATTTAGGAAAAAATATGGCTGATTTACCATTATTAGCTATTGATAGTTTTAAACATATGTTTCTTTTTCCCGATGTTAATCAACTTTCGTAAGATTTTAGTGTAAAATAAAAATAAAAGTAAACAGTTTTAATTTTAATTTTTAGAAAAGATGGAAAATTATTAGAATTTGTTAAAGATCTTCATTCAGGAAAACTTCATAGAGAATTTCATAATCCGCCACCACCAACCCAACAAACATCAACAACTACAGTATCATCGATAGGTGTAAGTTTATTTTAATGAATTTGATTAAACTATTTACAAATTTCTGAATTAAATTAAAAATTAAACTTATTTTTTATAATATCAATTACTTCATGATTATTCTGTCTCTAAAATAATCCAACCGTATATTTTATTTCTCTAGATGTTGCTTTTATGAATCTACATCTTATTACTACATAAAACGAATTTTCTTTAAATGAAAAATGCTATTGTAATTATTATATAATAAAGATTTCAATGGCATTGAGTATTTCTCCTTCGCAATAATAAATCTAAAAAGTAGGAACCGTTGATAAAGAACTTGGAAAATAGCTGACTTGTTCCAATTTTCTAAAATCTTAAGAAAATTTGATCTGTTTGAGCTGAACTGCTGAAAATATAATGACTAATATGTATCATAAATGTTCATATCAAATCAATTTATTATCGTTTATGTTCAATTTATCTTAAAATATAATGAATATTTGTTAGAAATGACTGTAGTTCCAAAGAAAAGACTTGATTATAAGATTTGTTTTTGAAATATTAATTCCACTTAGTGAATGATTTGGAGATTAAGAGAAAAATGACTAACTGACGAGATTCATTATTGAATAGAAATATATTATTTATTATTGTTTTCTTTTTAATATGATCACTTGTATTTTTAGAGGGCAATAAAATAAATTCTTGAGTATCTTTTCACGGGGAAAACTTGATACTGTGAATTTTTTATTAGTTTTGACATAGAAACTGATTTAATTTTTAGTTTTTATAACAAGAAAAAGATTTTTCTTAATTTTATCTGATCGAAAAGTTTCTAACTTTATCTGCCAAATGAAAATGTTCTACGAATACATAGTCAATTTTTAATAGATAAATTGTTTTCATCGTGGAATAAAAGAACGAGAAAATTTTTTTTTCATTCTTTACTTGATTCTAAAATAAACTTTTGTAAGTAATCTGCCCATAAGATATTTTGCTCTTTATTGTTTGTGGGATTCCAAAGAAAATAAAAATACATTTTTGTCCTATTTTACTGCTGAAAATACAATAAACTAAGTAGGAGAAACTTTTTTTTGTAGATACGATTGTTATTGAGATGAATTTCTTCGAAAGAAACAATTGTCTCGAATAGAATTTCTAATTGATATCGAAATCTGCATGGTTAATTCTTAGTTCTGCTAGAAAAATAAAACTGAAATGAATTCTTCTTTTAATTTTAGGATGATGGTGATTCAAAAAGTAAACATATTCCAAAAACTTCATCGTTAGCTACAGGCGATTCTTCATCAGATCCGATGAACAATGTAATAAAGTCAGGTTCACATCCATCATCACCACCAGAATCAGTTTTTGTTCGTTTAACACCAAATCGTCAACGTTATTCATTTCGTGATGAATTATAAAAAATAAAAGAGAAAAACTTTACTATACATTGAATCTCGGCTTGCCGCTTGCTGCTTCTTTTTGTTATAAAATTAATATTGAAAACCAAAAAAAAAACATAACTTTTCTTTTCATATATTTATTCGACAAAAAAAATAATAAATAAATGGCTCGATGATATTTTAGTTAATTTAAATGGTAATTCAATATTTTGTTTTAGATAAAAAAACATAAATGCGACGACATCGTCAAATAGCTTTACTTGGATTTCCAGGTGTTGGTAAATCTTCACTTGCTCATCATTTTGTGTATAAACAATTTTATAATGAATATGATCCAAACATAAAAACAAGTAAAAGAATACTAAAATAAAATTTTTCTAATGGAAAAGAAAAAACCATTGTTTCTGTTAAGATCTTAACTTTCAATGTATTATTAGTGGCGAAGAATATGATTTGGTCATTGTTGACAATGCGGGATCCGATCAATATACATTAAATCATAGTGACTTTGATACGAGTGATGCTTATGTTATTATATATGCTATCGACGATCGACAGAGGTTCTTTTGTTTTATTACAGAAAATTTTTTGTTTTATGATTCAATTTTTTTGTCTAGTTTTGAAATGGTATCGAAAATTCGCGATAAAATTATTTCAACAAGTCCTAGTACTAGGTAAAAACGAATGATTTATAAAATTATTTAAAATAAAATTCTATTTTCTTTATTAGAATACCAATCGTTCTTGTCGGAAATAAAATCGATCGAAAAGATGAAAGGTATTGAAATATTTTTTTTGAAAAATTGATTTATTCTTATTTTTTTTACTTTGAACAAAACTTTTTGAGCGAATTCTATATGCTATTTTAATTTGATTATGATTTATTGAAGCGAACGTTTTGATTATTGTTACAAAATTGATCAACCTAAAAGGTTGATGGAAAATATTTATACTGACTTTTTTCTGTATTGAAATCAAACTGAAAACACTGATATCATTACTTTTCATTATTATCTACATTGTCTGAAAACAAATTTGTTTCTATTAAACATATGGCAGAAGTAGAACGAAATTCATTTAAAGCATTTTGAGCGAATGATTTTCCATGGGACTATGAAACAAACATTTTACTGAATGTTTGTAAATGCTCACAAGGGAAATTTCTAAAGGATTCCTTCTGTATTTTAGTAATTTAAAAGACTTTACGATATAGAGCATTAAAATTATTTTTAATAGCTGTTATAACAAAAAAGAACTGGACTCCTGAGCTCTAAATAATTATATTACATAGTTGATTCGCAAGGAAATTACGGTTATTCAAAAATAAAGATGCTGTTATTTTCTACTACCTATTATTTATTTTCTCGATTTTTCTTTGTTGGAAAAACTTATGGATGAAAATATTTTCTTCTCAAATTTCAACACTTGTTAACGATTTATCTATGTCTAAGACTAGTTCGGAGAGTAGAAACCTACGAGAGACTATCGTTTGAAATGAATGATCATCATAACATATTGCTTACACATGTCGAACTATCTAATCTAGTAAATAACAATGAAGAAGTATTTAGTATTGTAGTTCGTTTGAAAATTTGTTTATAGAATCAACTTTTCATTGAACTAAGAATAAATCTATTGAATACAGTTTCAAAAATAAATAAGCGATAGAACGAATCAGTACTAATGACATGAAATCCAATTCGGATAACACTAGAAGCAGCTTATTGAAGATTTAGTTTTATTTATGAGAAAAATATGTATCCATAATCAATACGAATAGATACAGAAATATTCTGATTATCAGAGACATAAATCAATTGAGTATATCTTATCGATTGATAAATGAAAACGGAAATTTAACAATACTAATTTTGACTTTAATGACCTCCTTGTGAGATTTGCTGTTTTAGCCAAACAATTTGTTTACTTCTGATTTCTTATAACAATTATTTTTTCTAGTTAAACGAAAAAATAAACTTACTCTTTTTCAAAAGAATAATGAATATGAATTAAAAATTGCTTTAGAATAGATTCAAAAATTGAATTAATTTATTCTAAAAGTTTTTTCACCAAAATATATTAATAAATAAAAGCAGATACCTGATATAAATCACTGAAAGATTGTTAAAAATAATTAAAATCTGTCTGCTTTACTTTATATGGAAGAATCATATTGTAATAAAAACGAATCTATTTCGAAGACTCGTCATTTTTTTAAAAAACCTTTTTAATTTGCTATGTAAATTGTTATCCGTTCATAAACATATGAAAAATTTTCATTGTCAAATGAAGATACGATCGAATAATTAAGAAAAATATTATTAATATGCTTTTTTCGAATTGAATCCTATTGAATGCTAGTCATATTTGTTTGATAGTCTATGTAACAAGAACAATTTTGTGTATTTCAATAATAAAAATTAATTAATAAATTTTTTTAGAGTTGTTTCAACGGAAGAAGGTCGACTATTAGCTCGTGCATGGAATGTTCATTTTATTGAAGCATCAGCGATGAATTTAGAAGTAATAATTGATTATATTTTCTACATAATCTATTTGACTTAATTTTGTCATAGGCTGTAAAAAAACTATTTGAAAAAAGTATTGTTGCTATGAATTATATTGATCCAACAGAAGATCCAAATGAAGAAAATTCAACAGAAAAACATGCAAATGAAACTAACTCATCATCATCATCATCATCTCGGAATGGTTTCAATAAAAAGCAAAACGGAAATTTATCATCGAAAGAACAATCAGCGAAAACAATATGTATTATTTCCTGAATTTTACCGTTCTCTTTTTTTTTGTTCTTTTTAAATGTAAATAGATTCTTTTCTTTGTACATTACTTTCTATTATTCATGAGAGTTTTTGTTTGTTGTCCTTTGAAAATCATTTGCAAAAAAAAAGAAAAGATTCTCGGTTTCCTTAGGTGTTGGCTGTTACTTACTCATTTTTAAATTCACAATCAAATTAGCTATTTACTAAAGAACAAACTAATCAATGCATTGAGTACCAAAGAGTGATCTGCAAAATGGTCTCGGTATATTTTCTGAGCTCCACTAACTCAGTCGATATGATTACTTTGGTATTTATACAGAAACCATATCGCAGGACAAAGACGAATGGTAAAAGAATGTCTTTTCATCGTTCTGAAAGTGAATAAGAAAAACCAAGATTCTCTAGATTGTATTTTCTTCCTCTGGCATCATGTGAATTTATCACATCATAAAAGCGGGCACTACCGTTTAAGATAACAGAAGCATTAACACCAAAAAAGAAAATGATTAGGCAAATTAATGACATAGTAGAACAAGAACGCTATTTATTAATTGGACGAGAATGTGCTTCTGTATTGAATCATCATGGATCAAATCCAAATCATTTTTTTAAAATTAAAGCATGAATAGAAAAATATTTGAATGTTTGACCAAGAAAAAAACTTTCCAGTTTTCATCGCGTACTTGGATATTATCTTATACAGGTGAAAGACACGGTCGTAAATGGTAAGCAACGATTAAACATGTATAAATGTCTGCCAGAGCGAAACGAGAAAAAATACAAGAAAATTGTATAAAAGGTAAATTTTTTTATAACTTTCAAATAAATATCAATCAATTCTTTATTTCGAAAAACATTTTTGAAACCTGCTTTTGTCGACACATGATGAGGCGTCATGCAAATGGAAATTCAAGTAAGAATAAAGTAGTTAAATGATAATAACTACGTTACAGGACTGCAACAATCGTGAATCATATTAATGAAGGGTATTCAATATGCAGATCTCATATGATGAAGACGACACCAAGTATACAGGGTATGATAGTCAGATGATTGTAAGGTTTTGGAAAATCATTACATACAGTAAAAAAGAACACTAAGCGCGCTGGCACTGGAAAGTATGTCGAAAACGTGCAGGAAATGTTTTTACATTTAAATGGATTGATTTTTTTAAATTTTCGTCATGATCTTTTAGGCACTTATGTTACTATATGTATGTTGATGGAATACTGTTGCCTAGTAAATATCTTCTCAATTACATGTAGAATAGTTAGGCATTCTCTTTCATTAGCATGTTAGAAAAATTGAACAAAACAGAATCATATGTATTCTTTCTCTTTTTATTCGAATTTTATTATAATGAAATGGATACGCAAGGAAAAAAATTCTACATGTCAAGAAAAGCAGTTGAGTTCTCGACAAAATGAAACATAATCAATCCAAGAAAGACTAGTAGTATATAGGAAACTTGGTTGGATTATTTTTCATCGTCACCAGTTATTATAGTAATTCACACTATCTTAAACAATGTATCTGAGAGTATCTATGCATAGAGAATATTTCAGTTAGTCTTAAATTTCCGGAAAAATCAAGCTAACACCATAGTTTAGTACGAAGGAATATAAGTTTAACATACAAGTTAACTAATGTTTCGGCGCTCAAAAGTGTGTCGAGTTATACAGGTCTGTTATGCTACCGAAAGCAATAAGCCTTTTGCTTCTACTGTTCATAATTATGTTTGACCGTTAGATATGCACAAAAACGTTCCAATTCTGGAACTGGGATCGGGACCGAAATCAAAAACAATTTGGTTTTACTAAGAGAAAGAAAACGAAACTTGTGCATTCCAGAGTACACGTGAAGTAGGGAGAGATTTCCGTGGTGTAGACCTGACCTGAGTTAGAGTTGTAGGAAAGAAATAAAAAATACAACGGTTGAAGTAGAATTTTAAATGTGAGACAGAAGTTCTAGAATATTATCCTCTAAATAATAGCTAGAATTACCGAGACCGAATACATATAGTACATGGTAGTTTTTATTAATAACTGTGTGAAATACATATTGACAAAAACGGTTCATTTCTTTTACGTATCGAAAACTTATATACGTATTGATGACTCGAATTTTCTTCTATGTTGGTACATACAAAAAGAAAAATGACTACGGTTACCACTTGTTAAGCTTTCATGATATATTTATCGACGATACTTCATTTATTGTTCAGATAAAAAATATTTTATTGTAAATAAATATGTCACGCAATGCAAGAGAATGAAGAAGAAACAAAAAGACGAATGTTTTGAACAACATGTAGCAATGCCACGCTTTCAATAAATTTAATATTGTTGATATAGTATCTTTCAGAACATTGTATTTTAAAGTCAAACTGATGTAAAAAGCATTTATTTGCTTTTCGTCTAGTTAAAATAAGAACAGTACCATTGAACCTCAGTGTTGTAGGACTATATACTTTAGTGAAGTCTTCGTTTATTCAAATGTAATTTTACTTTATCAATTAACATATCTTTCTTCTCTTTGGTTACCAAAGAACAATTCTCTGTGCTTTTCCTTGTTTTTCATCGCGACAGGCAATTATGAAAACACGGGCTGCTCAGTTAGTCGATTAGAGAGAAATATACATCGCATTTGTACTTCGGACGTGGCCAACAATTTAAAAAAATCAATAGTTTGGGTCCAAAAGCAGTTGCACAGTAAGTCATCGAGTTCATTGAATTATTTTACAAAAGATAAGAAAAAAAGACGTATCAATAGACTCTTATTTTGGAATCAATTACATATGGTTTGTCTTCTCACATTCTCTAGTCTCCTGCACTTGTATTCTATACTGAAACAGCATTGTAATGTGTCTCCGACATTGAACAGTCAATCCGATCTGCTTCATACAACTGATGTGAGAGAATTGGGTACCATGTTTCTTACAGCCTATTCGAATATAATTAAAAATGCAAATGCCAATCTCGATGAAAAAGTACGAAACAAAGCAGTGGTTCTTAACATACAAGATATTAACCCGCGTATGATCGAAGTAAGTGAATCTAAATTTTCTTCACTAATAAACGAAAGCTCTTGTGTTATAGCCGTTTGATGACAGTCTCTATCACATCGCTACACATCAAATTAACATCAAGCTAACAGAAAAAGAAAAACAATCATGGGAACATTTTACTAACGTCTCAGCTCATCTCGTTGCTGAAATGACTCGAGAAAAAAACAACGAATCTCACTTTTAGTTGATGTCATTTTTAAGCACAATAATTATTCAATGTATGCATTACAACTTGTTTACTAAATATTTATCACATTTAAAAAACACTAATAGATTACTTTGTCATTCTCTGTCTACTTTAAGTCAGGTTCATGTACCGTTGATTATTCCCAGCTGTCATGTTTAAAAAGTTAGCTTACATAAAAAAACATCTAAAAATAAATTTAGAGAAACTATGAAAAAAGCTGAAGATTCCAGATTACTAAAATATGTGTATCGCAATAGAGAAATTATCAAGAAGTCACTAAGGATTCGACTATTTTAAAAGTTGTCTTTCACGTTAAATCTTTTACTTGATACTAAAATTTATCGAAATAATTTTTCTCAGTGATGAATAGAAAAATTTTTAAATAATTGAAAGCTACATAATAAATTTAAAATTATATAAATTCTAGTTGAGATCGAAAGACTTTAAATCTTTAAATGGCGACTATTAATGCTACAATCTTAATTTGTGGCTAGACTAGAATTTTTCAATTGGTCCGATCCGTTCTGAAAACTTTTTAAATTGGTAAATAGTGATTGACTCATTCTCGGAACCGATGATGATTAAGAACAAATTAGAAAATGATCTCGAATCGATTTAGAATTGATAAGCAGCTAATCTCCAGAATTTTTTCAATATTTAAGCAAAGTATCAAAAAATAAAACTTCAAATAAATAAATGTCTTCAAAATGCTGAACACTTTCAACATTCCCGATGATGTTGAATTTTAACGAGAGTTTAATTTAATTTAAGATAAGACTGACTTATGACAAATTTTAATAATGAAGTTTTAACTAAATGAATTACGATTATAGAGAAACATCTAATAGTTGATACGTATATTTATATAATGTGAAGTTTTTTCAGTTTTCTCTTAAATCGAAAGATAAAATAATAATCGTAAAATAATTTCAATAAGAAAAATTTACAAATTTTGAAATATTCCTAACAAATATTGATTAACTCTTTCTCTTTAAACAAATATTCCTGTGTTATGCACTGCTTTTTCCTCAAAGAAATAGAACGTAGAAGAAAGTTTTTCATTTGAATAAATCAATACATAGTATCATAGCTTCTATCTTATAAGTTTTTAAACATCAATTTATCTTTTATATTTCCAATCAAGACGATGTAGTCTATTATCATATCATAAAATAAAGTAGAAAAATCTTCAATAATCAATATTATGATAATAACCATACAGTTTTTAGATAAGTAAATTTTATAATACAAAATTATTCATAGAAAACCATCAAATTAGAATCATGAAAAAGATAGAGTAGTACTAATCATCTTTTCAAATATTGTTTTTGATAGAAAATATCCTTCGTGATTTCAGAGTAACTAGTCTAAACCAAAGCGTAATTTAAAACTCATGTGCCTAAGTTGTTGAGAAACTGTTCATCGTTTTTCGAAAACAATCACATGTGATACCAATATCAAAAGCAGTTAATAATATCGTCTATGTTTACTTATCTAGCACTATATTAAATTAACTGATCATTGAAACCATGAATTATAAATATAACAGCTGAAATTTACATTTCAGAATGTGAATTATTATTTGTTAAATTTGTTCATCAGAGTTCTGAAAAAAACTATGCATTATGTATAATAATCTGTTGATACTCCCCGGATGAATAATTCGAAAGCTAGATCCTATCGGATTTCGATCGGATGCTCTGTTGGGTTCATTCTCCTGGACTTTTCTATAACAGTACAACAACATAAAATCGCTACGCTCCATTTATTCTTCAATAAACAAAGCACAAAGAGACTGTAAGTAGTCATTTGATTCACCCTATACTATTGTGAAACGTAAAAATAATGAAAACGATAATTATATAGATGTCAAAAAATAAAAAGATTCACAATTATAGTACATGAAGGAAGAGATCCCTCACCATCACCCTTAGTCTTTCTTTTACATTTTGACCTGTCATTTTTATTTTCGGCATTTTTATTTCTCAACTAAAATAAAGTTAACCTTAATATTGCTACATTAATATGAGAGTTTCGAATTCAAAGAAGTAGAAGAAAATATATTAAATATTTATTTATTTGAGAATAGCTTATTTTACACATAAAATAGAAAAAAAAAATGTATAAATTTATTCCACTATATAATTTAATACACAAATATATATGAGCAGAAAATTGTTCTATCCATCACTATAGCCACTGGGTTTCTACAACAAAAAACAAAAATATTTCAGATAAGATATAAAACTGAAGAAAGAAGAAACAAAATTACATATTTTGTTGTTTGGATTAAATAAACAAGCCATTCAACTTTTTTTTCCATATTCTGATTTTTCATATCGATTTTGTGAAATTCATTGATGAATTGATCAAACCATATTTTTCTAGTTCTAGTTTTCATTATATATTGATATAGTTGTTCTAAATGCCATCCAAGTTTCGATTGCAATAGGAATACGAATTTATGGAAATCTACAACAAGGAAAATGACATGAGAAGCGAGTGCTTTTATATGAACAAATGTTATGATTATTTAGTAGATTCCCTTCTTTTTGCTCTTATTTCTATTTGATTCCGAAGGAAAAAATGCTTTCGTCAATAGATTCATTAGAAAAGGAGAATACAGTGCACTTCTAAATTTGAGACAAAGATGAAGCAGTAGACTACGCAGTTCGAAAAAAATGATAATATCTTATCTCTTGAAATCGATGTTTCCCTTAGTTTGAAGGCACGTTCTCGTGATTTTAAAATTTTTACCAATTGTTTTTGTTGTGCAATGTAGCGTGTAATTCACCAAGAAATAAAAGAAGTATTTCAAAATTATCGTCCCTAATGCAGTCAACTATAATTGTGAGAACGTTAATTCTAAATATGCTTGGTTATTAAATAGTTAGCTCCTACATGATATACTGCTTTGTTAGCAGATTCTACTACACTAAAGTACTTGGTACATAACTTTAGAGTGTTTGATCCTATTAAGATAGTTTATAGGAGTTAAAACGTGATAAATTTAGCTTAATATTGAATTAAGCACTGCTTGATAGGAGAAATTTTTCCAAAAAATACTTTAGTTTGTAGATATTTTCATTTTTCTACTCTCCATTATTTCTAATGAACTTGTTCTTGAAGACATAACAAGGTCATGTCAATGCTTATAGTTATTTGAGATAATCATGTTCCTTCTTCGATTCTAAACTGCATCGTGCAAAAATATTCTGATTTATTAATTGCTTTAAGATATCATAAAGATATATGGTTAATAATAATAGCATCTGCTTATGATTTTAAGACAGACATATTTGAGAAATATTTCTAATGGTTTACTAAGAAAACACAAAAGACTTTCAACAAATGAAAAGGAATTAAAAAAGCAAATTGGACGCTGCAAAAGCCTTTTGGGAGTCATGTCTCTTTTTTCAATCTAAAGTCAATGGGTGTTACTATAGAAAATTATACTTAGATTCTACTATTAGTAAAACAACTAGATTTTTACCTTCAGACTTGATAAACATGTGGTGATAAAAGAAATGATGAATTCGCTGTTGAGTCACATAAATATGTGTAGCTTCTTTCACTGTGACATTATCGACAATATTCAAATCATTGGATTGCTTTTCGATACTTTGCATTTCTTCTTGGTGAAAAGACCAATCCGTCCCACTATCTCCATTAGCAATTGGTTTCTACAATATAGAATAAGAATACAGGTAAAAACCATAAATAAACATGAAATAAGCAATATACTTCTCGATATTTGAATTTATCTTCATCCATGATATCATTCGTTCGAGTTCGACAAGCAGGTGTTTGATAGAAATCATAGTGAATCTTCAATCGTTTTGATGAATTATTTAGCTCGTGTTCCGCTTGGCTGCTACTACTGCCTTTTAATAAAATAAATGAAAATTTTGAAATCAATATACTATATAAATATGAATAGATCAAGTCATTTGATCCTAATATATACTCTATTTCTTCTTGATTAAAATAAATTATTATTAATGGTTTGTTAAGCGCTATGAAACACATGAATTGTCTGCTATATTAGTAGATCTACTTTTAAAGTCACTGAAACAAGCGAATAAAAAATGCTTCAACTCTTAATAATATCAGATAGAAGATTAATAAGAGATTATTCTGAATTAAAACGAGTTAGAAAACTACAATGAGCTGTGTCAACAGAAGTAAAACCGTTATTGATTGTTCACGACCACCAAGTTTACAAGTTCGATGAGGTCACATAAAATTTCAGCGGCCAAATTTTTATCTGTCGTTCATACAATGGTATGTAATCAGTACGATAAAATGTTCTCATTATCAGTGTCAAGTTTCGTTTGCAAATTATTATTGATACTTTGGTCACATAAGTATTTTTATGAAATTTAGATGAAATTGGGAATTACTAGTCATGGCTTTTAAAAAAAATAATGAACAGAAAGATGATTCAACTATTGACGTTGAACAGTCTGAAATGCATATTAACACTAAACCGGTTGGTTTTCGATATTGGTTCTAACCCCTAATTTCAATATATTAACTAAAGGAAAGATTACGTTGACAGCCAGTATCGATTTAGGTTCTTCTAGTATTTCATAGCTATAAAATCTAGCTATAGTTAATACATGCTTGATAAAAATGAAGAGAAACTCTGATGAAACTCATGCATAATTTAATAGATATTATTTATCTTAACGAGTTTTTGAAGTGCATGTAATAAAAGTCTTATTGATACTAAATGGAATCTATTTTTTCAGAATATAAAATATATTTATCTAAAACATATATTTCTTGTTTTGTTTTTGACAAAAGACAACTTTTTTAAAGTTTTATGAATAAAGCTATTCAAAACTATATAACTAACTCTAAAACTTTTTCGTTTAATAAATAAATCTGTAATTTTGCATCGTCAAATATATTTTTTAAAATCTTAATAAATCAGTAAAATTAGGACTAAGTGTATTGTTATAAATAAAGAATGCTGGGCAAGGCAACATTAGAAAACCTTTCTCCAATACTATTGGGATATGTCAAAAAACAATAAATGAAAGTTTATTATTTCCAAAAATAAACAACATTAGAAATATTTTTAAAGAAAACTTCAACTCAAAAACTTACACTAGACTTCTAATTTATCTGTGTATAATTTATATCTATACCTGAATTTATTCCATTGGCTTTTCGATTATTGATTTTCTTTTTGCATTCTTCTCGAAAAATGTTCAGCTCACGCAAAACACCTTTTTTGACTTCATTTGGTGACGATGATGATACTGTGTTATTGTATAAAAACAAACGTAAACGGTCTTTATCGTTTAAACAATCGTGAACAGACAGTAGTTCGTCGCTTAAGTCATCACATTGAATAAAACCGCTATAAGATGTAATACCGATATCAACTAGTAATGTATCGGCGAGATGTTTTGGTAGATGAACTCTTGCGAATGTTTCGAAGTCGTAACTATCTATACATTGAATTCTTTTTCTTTTATCGGTCGTCATTTTGTCTAATAGCTAAAATAATCAAAATGTCAAGCGATGGTGAAAAGGTGTGCGTAATGAAATTCACTGGTACATTGTGCATGCATCCTCTTTTCTTTGTGCTTTATCTTACGATATATTCGCTTCGGACTATGTTCATTGTTGACCGTGACCACCCAATAATAAGCTATGCTCTTGCATGTAACTAGTGGCGTCGCCAGGAGTGGGCTAAGTCCACCCTAAAATGTGTTGAGCCCATCCAGAATTTTTTTAAGGTTTCCGAAAACATCGATAATCTTTTATACAAGTGGCGCCGCAACATGCGACTACTAGCTAAGATAAAGATAAAGATAAAGATTCTTTCTTATTTTTTATTGGCTGATTATTGAAAACCACTGCAAATGTTTACGTTTAAAATAAAAAAAACATGCTCTTTAAAAATGTAGCCTGAAAAATGTCGAACAATAGAATCTTTTTTTTCATTCGTTTAAAAGAAAAATGCTAATTTCATAATTTACCTGTGAAAGATCTTTCTCAAAGATGAAGATAATAAAAAATTATCGTCGCATTTCCATGTCGGACAAACGCTTAAGCAATTTGACAGTCTTGGCTGTTGAACGTGACATTGTTATAGATTTTCCTTCTTTCTCTTACTAAAAAATATTTTATCATATTTTATTTCAATTTGCATTCAAATTAATCGTGTTTTTTCAATAGATATCATTTCAACAACAACAAAAAATTGAACTTAAGATCATAGTGCAGCAAGTAAGTTGATGAACGAATGATATCTGATGATGAATAACTTCAAGGGGAAATATTTTAAATGAAGTGAATGAAAAAAATATCGTCTTTTTTTTATTTATTTATGCAGCAAAGCTGTGATCCGAGAAAGATCCTTCCAGCACCGGGAATAGAGTAAAATATCGTCTTTTTTCTCTCTTCATCTATATATCAAAAATAAGACGAGCAACAATTGATGATTGACTATTAACATCACGTACAATAATGTTTTAGATACTAAAAAACTGATTACATTAATAACTGTAAAAAGAAGACTCATTTGGTAACTGGAATCATTTTTATGTTCTGTTTTTCTTGTTCATTTATCTATTTCATTAAAATAAATTACAGTTTTTACTGAAATAGCCAATGGCAATCAATAAACTAGGTAGAAGCTTCATTGTCATAACATTGATTAGAAAAAAAGCTTCATCATTAATTTTATCCCAATCAATTTTTACTAAAGATTAAGCTCTTCTATACTTATGTAATTATATCGAAGATAAATAGTCACGAGAAAAAAAACATACTCAATATCATTTGATGAACTGATAACATTGAATTGTTCAAATAAGGGTTGCTAAATCAGGATTAAGTACTCTAAAATTACCATCATAGTATTATGAGCCTTTAGATTTTTTTATTTCAGTTTAAGTAAAAAAAACTAACAGAGGTCTTTCCTTAGGATTCATCGTATTTCAACATGAACATTTAATGAAAGAATCAGTGTTTGAAGATTATCGAATATTTCAATTTGTTTTGACAGAAGTATAATAATCCTTGACATATTTTTATTGAAAGCCATTTTTTAAATTTAGAGGTAGATTTACACGAATGACTGTACAAAAAATCGGTTAGTACAATCTATGTTCAGTTTCATCAGTATTTTTAAATAAATTCATTAATATCTCTGTCTTATCGACATGTTAGACAATGAATAAAATAAATGTTATATTTATCTTTCGAATATTTAAATAAAATTCAAGCAAAACTCCCGGCTTTAGTGTAACAGACATTAATCAGACCGGCTACTCATTGGGCCAAAATAACGGATTACTTTTTTATTGCTTTGAAAAGAAATAAAAAAGATTTATGAACGTTTATAAAGATATCTATTAGTTTAAAGAATCATATATTAACAACTAAATGAATGGAGAAAATCTTGACCATCATTTATTCACTCGCTCAGTGTAGTGTCACTTCGTTCATTTATATCAGTTGGTTCCGATAACCAAACGAACTAACTTACATCGATTTAAGAACGAGAACTCATATCTGCTTTTTAAGAGGTGCTGTCAATTACCATTACCATTCTTCTTAGTTCTCTTTCAAAGTTTCATGCCTCATGACCTCTACTGTACATAGTATAAACCACAGTGGGACATGTTCGATATGTTCTAGATGGGTAAAAATACATATACCGTCATATGTACATTGAATGATAACTCTGATGTCACATATATATGTGTCACATGTAGCGGCGGCGTCAGGAATTCAGACTAGGGTGGGCTCAGACCCTCTGAATTTTTACCAGGGTGGGCTCGAACTACTTTAGTTTTGAAAAGCGAAAAAAATGAATGGTAAATTTGTCGAATTTTTGGATTAGTAAAAGCGTTTCTTGTTCTATGCTAAATTATTCCCATGAATGTATACAAGGTTTCCTATTTATTTTTAAAATATCTAATAAGATAGCTTAAGATAATAAAATCCTGATGCTCTTATGATTTCGTGCTAATTTATCTGCAACTCTCTCATAATAGAATGACCCAATTTCTTATAGTTCTTTATAAATATTTTTAGATCAACAATGAGTCTCAAAACGGAATTGTTCGAACCTGATCATGATTTTTTTTCTCGAATAAATCATGTGATCTCGCTTTACCCAACTTGAATCAGTTTTTGCTGAATTTATTCTTGATATTTCTTGGCAGTCTCTGTAAAGATAAATTTTAGTGGACTGTAATAATGAATGCTTTCAGGATTTTATTCAGTCTAAGAGAGAAAAGTGTTTTGTAATAATTGTTCAACGAGAATGTCCTATCTAGGAATCAAAAAAAAACTTATCGAAAAAGAATTCTCAATTTATCAAAGCTGAGTGAAATGCAACGAGATCATCGATTAAATATAAGTTTACTTTAGATGATAATATTTGATTAAAAGATGGAAAACCGAATTGTTTCTTTTTGATTTGTTTTAAGCATGAATATGATCGTGTTCATTCCTAATCGACTCTTCCTGACAGAATCACCGGGGTCCCCGGAAAACTGTGAAATCCACAGGGACTCACCAGGGACTCCTTGAAAAATCCTAACGGAGTCCCCGAATTCTAAAGAGTTGTAAGCAAATAAAATCTCCCTCGAGAGTTTTTAACATAGAGTTATATCTAAGCGATAAATAACATTTGAACTTCTACCGATGCCCTCTCAGCGATAGCTCATCAACTTCAGGTGATTTAACAATAGCCGGAGCTGTCCACTGAGACGAGGGCTACTAAATGGCTTTGGTCGAAGATTCTCTTAGAGACAGGCAGATTGGAAAAAATGGGCTTCGGTTCACAAGGAGCTAACAAAGAGTTAAATGACTTAGAGACTACTGAGAAATTGCAAAACTCCTTGTGAAATACCTGATAACTTCTAGGGGTCCCCTAAAATATCCCCAGACAGTCCCTTAAAATTCCCTGGGACTCCCGGTTGAATTTTTAGGGGAGAGTTGACTAGGGCATATATCTGAGTATCTAAATAAATTCATTTAAACATCATTTCATAAAGTAGATTTGTTTAAACTTCAATCTGAAATGTTTTAACTAATATATAATAGCAAGAAATTGAAATTGAACTTGAAAAACTAACTACATCAAATAGAGATGACGGTAAAATTAAGAAAATATCACATCTAGAGAAGGAAAAATGTTATAGTTATTTGTCTATGATTCATAATCCAATTCTAATGATCATTAAGAAGCAAAATATTACGAAGATAAATAAACCACTCCAAAAAGGTTTGAATGTGCATTCTCAGTGTTTGTTGAAAGAAAATCAGTTGAATTAAAACAATTTTTTCAATCAAGATCCAAAAAATATGAGAAGTCATTTTACAATGTGGCATAGTATTAATGCAATAAAATGTTATCGTTAACAAATTAAAAGATTTCATAACGTATCAAATCATCATTGAATAGTAATTGATAATCAAACTGATCAATACTGTGGATGATTTATCTTTATCAGCAACCGGACTTGTTTACATAAAACAGGTAAATTTCCATGTTACACTATTCATTCAATACACTGATGTCATTAAGAAGAGCTATTATTACTAGCCTATTTGATTTTTCAATTCGGATTCGTCAATCCAATAAAAAGATCTTTTAGTTTCGTCTCAATAAAGCGATAGATTCATTTCAAGATTCATATATCAATCTTCAAAATATTTTACTTCTTTGTAAACTATATCATAAGGAATTATTTAACTGTGTTCCGTGCGAATATATGAAATTAAAATCGATCTGGATATATCTTGATAATATTTCATAGAAAAAATAACCGGCTATTTCAGCGAATAATGAACAATTCCAAATTGAAGTAAAAAGCAACATTTTCAAAACTTTTTTATATTTGAATATACGTATTAAAACAAATGACATAATTTATTTAATAAACATCAAGAATATGTTTTTCAATTCTTAGATTTTATTGAGCTATGCAATGAAACATCTGATAAATAAAGCAAAACTATCATATACAAAAAAAACAGATCAAATAAAAGAATCTGAAACATTTGAAGTCTTTATCTAGTGTTGTCAACCATAATATACAGTGTAGTTAACCGACGTGCAATTTTTTAATCGATACTTTTTATAAGCAGAAATCATTATTGATTTGTCTCTGAACCTTTTCTCTATTGTTAGAACTAATTTGCGTTCGGCAAAAAAATGTTCTTTGCAAGAGTTAAAGATTTTTTCAAGTTTATTGCAGAGCTTCGTTCTATTTATGTAATCATTTGTAAATTTAACACTAGAATTTTTAAGAAGATTAGTACAATATTAAACAATTTTTTTAACCATTTTCTATTTGAAATCAATTTTATACGACTCTTATGATTGTTAAAACTGAAAAATTCGTTTAAAGAAGTTTATTTTTCTAGAGAGATACGAGAAACTTGTCAAATCATTATTTATCACTTGAATTTTGAAAGAAGAAAAAGAAAATAGTGTCTTTTCTTTATTTTCTATTTCTATAGAAAGAGAAATTTGATGGCATAAATCCAAGACAAAACAAAAAACAAAGGAAGAATTTAATTTGATTCAAATAATAAATTTCGAAATTTTCATTTATATAATTACATATGTACTCTTGTATATTGACCTTTATATTCGAGTAGTAATAAAGATCGTGGTCCATTATCACCTGCGGGACAATCAACACCTACATAGAAATTGTTTTGTTTTTGAAAAAGAAACAATTCTCCTTATTTAAAATGAACTTACAAGTGATTTTTTCTATGGTTAAAAACCATGTCTTCTTTCGATAATGCATATCAAACTAAATAACAAAAATTAGTTAATTAAGATTTCTACTTTTCTAAATAATCGAGAAATGATTTACTTTATGTCTTTCAGGATAATTGAATTTTCCATCATAAATACGTAAAAATTCTAAACCTAATTGATACATTGTTGGTGACTCGATTCCTTTTAATATATCAATAATTTTTTCAAACAATTTTTTTCTTAAAAAAAGAAAGTAAATTTAAAAACAACAAAAATTCATTTTAAATAAATTTACTTTCGTTCCACATGCAAATGAATCGATTCAATAACACGTCGGCGTCGAATAGGTGCTGTTGATGGTGGAATAAATCTTAAAACATAAAAATTTAAATAGAACAAATCTAAATTAATAACTTACGACGCATATCGCACACTACTTTGTGAAAATGCACTGTTTTGACGACTACGACGTGGTGCAACTGGTGGTGGAACTAAACCACTAAATTTTGGACGTGAACCGGTTATTAATGAATGCAAACCAAAATCAACAAAATCTTCATCTGAATCATTTTTGTAATTTTGTTTCTCATCATTTTCATGAGCTATTAATGCTTCAGATGTTTCAAGTAAAGATAATTCGATAAAATCATTTTCGAGAATTTTCAATGGATTTACTTCTGTAAAGATTGATGGTGATAAAAGTATTTTACTTTCATATTCTTGTTCCTTTTTCATTCGATCTATTTCTAAAGCGAAACAAAAGAATACGGGAAGACTTTTATAAATTGTTCCGCTGATAATAAAATTTAATTAATCATTACAATACGAAACCAGTAGAAATGACTCAATCGTTGTAACAAATTTGAAAATTCATTTGGGGAAAAATGAATTGTTTTCCTTTTTTTTGTTGTTGCTGCTGTAGATTTCATTATTCGAACTTTTAAAAATAAAAAAAACATGAACTAAAACTTACGCACCAGCAAAATGTTTATCGTATCGTTTTATAATTAATTCAATTTGTTGATTAAGAGTAAAAGACTGAAATAAAGATCGAATATCTTCATTATTATTAAATAAAGAATCAATAATATTCTCTTGTTCTTCGTTCGATTCTAAAGGAATTTTGATCCAAATATTATTTTCTATATCATATTCAAGTTTAATTCTATGTGTTCCATAACGATAAATACAACTATAACCAATAGATCTTCGTTGTTGTTCTCCTTCTTGATTTTCGAATATAATACCCATAGAAAAATGTCCATTATTTTCATCATACTTTCGTAAGCAATCATGATCAATATTTGAATGAACTAATTTTCAACTAATTTAATTATTAATTTAATGCAAAAGACATAGACTTACATTCATCAGAATTTTCTTGATACATATTATTTGAACGAGGATTGCTTTTTTCTTCTCGGTTGACCATGCAAATTTCCATGACTGCAAGTTAAAAAAATACAGGAGAAAGAGAAACAGAGAAGGAAAACAAGAATGTCAAAACGAACAGACCACACTATATGTGTACACACATTTGAACAAACAGGACGGCCGTCGACCTTCACGTTCGTAGTATTGCTCACTCCCATTTGTTTTTATCTTTTTCTCTCTTGTTCTCTTTCGATCTTTTGCACTTCGTCTATGAAATGGAATGCATCAGTCACGACCATGAAATATAAATATCTAACCGACTAATGATACGAATTGTTTACTGTATACCCAGTATGCTTTTTGTTTTGTTTAATGATCATTAGATGAACACATTTCATGTCAGTATACTTATCGATCAAGAAAGATATCAATTTATAAACTACATCCAAATGAATATTTTTCTACTAAAACTTACTCATTTTTAAATTAACTAGAAATTTATGAGAAAAAAGTCTATGAATCGAAATTGAAAAAGCTTAAATGTTAAAGTAACGAACGATGTTGAAATTCAACCAATTCTTCTTATTCGATACAAATAATAACTTTCAATATCTCAAATTATCATGTAAGAAGTTTCTATAGCATGAGAATTGAATTTTATGTTTTGATAACGTAAATGCACGATATTCATTTTAATAAGACATTTACTTTTAATCAAATGAATTTCTTGACTAAATTCAATCCTAAATAAGCCATATCGAATATATAACAAATGAACTCTTGCTGTATATTAATCGAGATTTGATATAGAATTGCAGAAAATTTCACTAGGAATCTTTCTCTAATCTTCTTCGACCAACCAAAAGATATTCCAGAGAAAGGATGCACCTTGAATTATTAGGAAAATAGTCACTGTACTAAAATATTTTATATTAGATCAAAAACAGAATTACTTGTGATCTGTTATCTTTCGATTATTGTTTAAAATCGAAACAATTTTTTTTATTCGTTCTCTATTCCGCTTCATTATTACTGAATATCATCAAATTATGTTGTTTTAAGAACAGAAAATGATATTTATGAAATAAAAAAAATGCTTTTAGTTTGTTGGAATAAGTGAATGAGGATTCATTGGTTGGTAGCTGCGGGATCATCGTTTGATTTTGTTTTTGGTCTCGATCTCGATTAAAAATTTGATTATCTCTAGTCATGATTTAGTTTCTAGGAAAAACAAAGATTATTTTACTAATCGATATGATTCTTTGCACCACGGCTAGCACGAGTTGATTTTGTAACTTGTCGAGTCGACTCGCTTATACTTACAATGCCATTTTTAATGCATAAATAGTAAATCTATATCGAGATCTTAGAATTTTATTGTAAATATGTTTTTGGAGTATCTACTAGCGATGAAACCTAACTAATTGGAAGAATGAATGACTAAACGCACATGCATATATTCATGTTTGGGGTAAAATTAGGATTCGACTAGACATAAATTCATAGAAAGGAAATAAATAAAATAAAAATAAAATAATTGATTTCATGAAACAATATCTCTTTTATTTTCATCAACATTTTACGCATGAAAGTTCTTTATAGTCTATTCCAGCAGTGCAAGATGTAGACCAGAGCTCCTAATGGGATGGGATGAGCTCCTAATCCTATGGGAAATGTGATTGTTTTTTTAAAGAAAAAATGATTATTCATTTATGTCACACTTGACAATAGGTGAAAAGTGTGAATATTATCATTGTTTTTCTGTACTGATCATTAGCCCAATTCCGAGCTCTATTCGAACAATTGAATAAAGAATACGATAAAACATACAAAACAGAAAAAAACATAAATGTTCTTTTCGTTTCAATGTTTTAATAAAATATCATCATCTTTTGTTTTATAAATTGTTCAATGCCACCTTCTATAACTATTTTTTCCTCATTATCATCCTTAGTTTCGGATAAACAGGAATATTCAGCTGAGGAAATCAAATTTCGTTTACAACATCACAAAGAGAATTAAAAGGTATTGACAATAATATTCCAACCAGGAATGCACCAATTTCTAGTACATGGTACGATAGACAAAATTTTTGCCTAATGTACGAGGCAGCCGTCCTCTGATTCCGTTCCATATATCAGCCAAGATTATTCTTTTCGATCTATGAAAAACTATGATCCAAATTTATTAAAGATGAAAAGGCGTTTTTGGATTTGACTCTCAATTCCAATTTTCAAGTCGTTTTCCGTCAAATTCTGCCAAATCCAACTTAGTTTCAGACTTGCACATTGCAAGTCTGAAACTGAATTGGATTTGACCGAAAACGACTTGAAAATTCAAATTCTGAATCAAATCCGAAAACATTTTTTAATCTTTCATAAATCTGGGCTATCGTTTTACATAGAGCAAAAAAAAATGGTCGTGACTGATATATGGAATCAGAGAACAACTCCATTCTACATCAGGGAAAAATGTCATCTTTCTTGCAATGTACTAGGAATTGGTGCATCCCTAATTCTAATATTCAAATCGGAATGCTGGAAAACTTCAACTTTCCAGTTAGAAAAAATAAACCTTGATTTTCAGTAAGATTTTTCGTAATATAGTGAATCCCATGGGATGGGATGAGACGACTTGCAGCATCCCACGGAACGAAAATTTCTTCCCATTCTATTACACTTAAAAATCGACTACTGATTAAGAGAATTCAAGAAGTTAAACTATTATTAGAAGAAGAACAACAAAGAACAGAGGAAAAATTAGAAAAGCAAGAAATTAAACTCGAATATTTCACGAAAATATTAACTAAATTTGGGAAATTACCTACGAAACGTCAAATTGATAGTTTTATTGACAATGTATATAAAAAACGGCAAGAAAACAGTAAAGATACCTTGAAAAAATAATTCGATAAATATTATACGAATAAAAATCATTATTTTATTATTTACTAGTTGAAAACTAAAAAACGTTTTGCTTTTATATTTTTTTGATGGAAACATCTGATCGATTTCATTTGCTAGAGTCATACTAGAGAAAAATTTCTGAAAAAGCTCGTCACTAGCGGCTAAACTCAATTTTAGATAAACTTTATCGTCAAGATGTGTATCGATTTACATCTGATAAATTAGAAAAATAAATTCTTAAAACAAATCTTCCGTCAAATTATGTCTGAAAAACTAGTATTAATGAAAGAAAACATTGAAAAAAGTACAAATATTTTTTTACTGTATTCATTTCAATATCAAAAATTGACGTTTCAAGATTTGATTTTCACCATCAGAAAAGAATTCAGAAAAGACAGTTTTCACTAATTATATTGCCTATCATTTTCGCATGATGATAGCAAATTTTCTACTGGAACTTTTCTATTGATCTGACGTGAGCTTCATGTTGTATCCAAATATTTCGCTGTAAAAACACTGTGATCAATAATTTTTCATTCCAATATCAAAACAGAAAGAAGCCACAATATAGTCATCGTTACTTATAAATTCAGCAGTGACGTCACTACTAATGAAGATTTTATATTTATCTATCGAGCTTTCTCTATGAATCAAGGAACTAGGAAAATTAACGAATGGGAATATTGATAAAGAAATTCATAATACAAAAATGAAACGTTTCAATTGAATAAAATATAAAAGAATTTTAGTTTACATGTTATCTGTAATTTCGCGGTTTTGAATATTGTGTTCTATCATGTAGCTAAAAGTAAAGTTGATAATAACAGTTCTCAAATACACTTATTTCTAAGTGGCAGAAAGGAAAACAATTTAGTTCCGATAGTTTTTCAAAATTAATTTTGACTTAAATTCGTGAAAACCGGTGGATTTACCATTTTTTTTGTTTTGAAAAATACTTTTTGTTCTTCTGTTGCATGAATTCGAAGTTTGTTAATGACGTTTTTCGTCTGTTTGTTTTGTTATAATTTTTTCTACTATACTTTTGTCATAGTTTTCATTTAAATCCAAATTCATAAAGAATTCAAAATAGAAATTATTTGTGCATCGCAACTATGTTGTGTTTTTATTTCAAAAATAAACAAACGGTACAATTAATGACAATCGTTTTGAGAATCTTTCTTCAATAATAAATCAATATAAGCACACTTTATATGATTTTCTTCTTGAATGCCTATTTTTTCACATAATTCTTTAGCAATCAATTGTCCGTGTTCAGGTGTTTGATCATCGCGTAAAATAACTTCAAGTTCAATGAAGATTGTTGATTCAAAGCCTTTAACTTGATCAATATGTATTCGTGTTTGTCCATGACCTGTCAGAAATAATGTTCGATGTTTATCAACTTGTCCACGTATTCCACCCAATGACAATGATAAAACATCCTAAATAAAACAATCATTTAATTTTTTTCTTTGTGACGAGAAGATGCGCAAGTATTTTTTCTAAATAAAAATAATTAAGAAAAGCTTGAATGTCTAATATATGTATGTCCAGTTGAAATTTTACTTGTATTCATCTTTCTGTTTTTCTAAAGATCTCCATCGATGTTTAACTTGTTCTGTCACATGAAACGGCTTTTTGAATGGTCTTTGACTTCCTCCAAATCTTAATTGACCAGACTGTTTCTTTCCTCCTAAACCACCTCCACATCGTCTTGGTTTCCAACCAAAAATATTCTTTGAAGCAGTATCTTCAATGAACAGTAGATGCCCATTAAATTTATATTCTTTGTCTCTATCAATATTTCCATCAAGAAAAGCATAGCCTCGCGGTTCACATGTAACAATATCCCGTATGAGATTAATACGAGTTGCATTTGGAAATATTTGTGCTAGATCATGTTCGGCACAAGATGGTGGAATATGACCAATAAAAAATGATGAAGAGCAGCGTGGACGTTTGTAGTTTGATTGATAAGCACGATCTATAGCTCGATCATGTGGTATTAAATCAGTTCCATCAATAGAACCGGACATTTGAGGATCATAAAACTCCCATTGAAAACATGTTGATCGATACATTATCTAGAAAAATAAAACTTAAACTCACTTTTAATTCATTTGGATGAGAAACAGGTGCAATCGAATAATTCGAAAGTTTAGGAATGGACAATGATGCTATATCATTTCGTTCATAATAAATTAATTGAGCTGGACTATCCTAAAAATAAATAAAGAATACTTATATATTTATCTCATTTGATTTCTACTTGTTCTATGCGTAATTTAAGTCGTCCGCCTGATGGGCAATTGAAAAACGTATCATTCTGAGTAAAATAACGTGGAGGACCATCAGCAAATGGTCGAATTCGTTCTATTATATTATTAATATGATCATCAATGGACGCTTTTATTTCAACGTTTCGAGGCATTTAGTTTATACGATATTTTCAATTTTATTCCTTAAAAACTTTCTATTTTATCTAATAAAAATCAGTCGATTCAGATTATGAAGAAATAATCGACACCAATTAAGTGCCACCATAAATTCCTGAGAGAGTTCGCTAGTCACCAATATTTGATTAGAAATTTGAAAACAGTTAAATAAAATAGTTGGCTGATTTCATAAATCGATTGTCTCTACTTCCGAATTGTTCATATGAATATAGGATTAATATCAAATGTCTTTTATTCAAAATCATTGTACTGTTTGTGAATTACAAAGTCGCTATCAATTTTCGAACACTTCTGAAGTTCTATAATTTAACTCTATCAGACACACATTCACATTTGTCAATGTATATCCTACAGTTTATTAAGAACATTACAATATTTTTGGTTTTCATGCCATTTACTAATAATAGCGAAAATGATCCATACAATGTTTAAATGAAAAACAATTATTCATATTTGTGCAGTATTACTTATTGGAAACTTTCAATTCATTTTTCCAATCGAAAACTATGTTAATCGATATTCCACTAGTGAAAAAGCGGCACATTCAATTGATGTCTTTCACAATGCCTTGATTGATCAAACCTTTTTGTTCTTTACTTCAGCATCTTTTTCTTTGGCACTTGCTTTATGATATAAATTTTATTTTGATACATGCTTGAAATGCAGCTCTGAAATTTATTTTATATTCTCTCAACATAGCGTATATTCGACATCGTAGGATACATAGATCAACGTTCTCGAGATGACCAACTCTATGAAATTACAAGATTAGAACGTCTAAATGAGCTGATAAAATGGATTCCACTGCGTTTCAGTTCATTTAATATCTGAATCGAGAATATCTTCATCGATCGTCATTGTACTCTATTGTGTTAGTAATCAAAGATTGTAAATGGATTCAAGAGGAGACGACAAGTAGCATTCAATTGAATCGTTAGATTTCCTTTGATTTCCAATAATAATGCTGCTCCTGAGTATGACGATATTCTCTTTTAATGAAACGGGTGAGTGAAACTTTGTTCAATCATTACACTAGTTAAGAAAATAAAACTTGTATTGACTTTTACATTGATTGAACTCAGACGTTAATTCTTCTTGAACTCTTTAGGGTAAATTGGACATTAGTAATAGTGTTCGCAAGCTGAGATACCGGAATTTATGGCCTGTTAGAAAATTTTCAATCTTGCTGTGGTAATTATTTGGGGAAACCGTAATCAGTCATTAGTTTCTGTCATGCATCAAAATCATTAAACATTTTTCTTACTGACATATTCACATTCACTATTCGCTCACTGAAAGTAATTCTAAGAATGAAAAACACCGTCGATATTGTAGCTTTTCTAAATTTTAGTATTCAAGGAACTGAAGAGAAAACTCTGTTGGTTAGTTCACTGAAAGACGACCTTCGACGATCTTAAAAATATCTCCACCAAATTTCAAATGAAAGTCAAATACTATCTAATATTTAATTTGAAATGACGTCACTGACAATCCAACAAAACAGTATCGAATATATATAATCATAATCATGAATCGTGTTTTGTTTCACTATGAATAAATAACTATTGAAAAAAAAGATATAAATTGCAGTTCATAGGACAACAATTTTATTAATTTTTAAGTGAATTTTATTCGTCGAAATTCTTTTTGTCTTTTATGCCTTGATAAAATCCAGTATGATAACCAGCTAAATACCATGACATCAGCGTAGAAGAAAGAGAATCATTATCATCATTGGGATTTAATATAGGAAATGGAGTTGGACGAGGTAGAGAAGGTAATATATCATTTTCGTCTACACATGATGCAGCTGCTGGTTGCTTTAGATGTTCTTGTTCTTGCTCTTGTTCTTCTTCTGTTCGCATTTTTAAATCGGTTAATTGATGAATTTCTTCATTTCCGTAATCATCAAATGAAATGGTACATGTTGTTGATGATATATTAATTATTGTAGCTTTATAAAAAAGACCATCTTCACTGTATGGACATAAACATAAATCACCGATTTTCCATTGAATCTTCCGCTCTGGTAATGAAGAATCGACTACCATTTGAGGATTGTCGTCTGATGAAGTACTTTTAATAAATAGAAAAATAATGTCGAATAAGAAACTCTTTGTTTTTTTTTGTTACTTCAATTCAGCGGCTGGTGATTCGATTGAAACTGTTTGTTGTTGAATAATTTGATGAAGCTTATCCGATTCAATTGCTTTTGCAAAAGCACGACATAAGAACAAATCGTCATCACTGGGTTTCGATATCTTTACAACGCTACGTGAAATATTCATCTAAATATTAATAAAAGCAGTTAGAAAAAGAAAATAATCTAATAAATATCTATCAATAGGATACACAAAAATTTTCGTCGATTTAAAATTTTTCACTCATAAATTTATGAAAGTCGGAATCAAGTTGAAGAAAAGCAACCTGAATGTGATAGAACTTCACTCTTCAGCAAATCCCTTCGGATTTAAAAAAAAACTGTATTAATGCTTTCGAAGTAATATTCACTTGAGCACGAATTTAAGTCATTCAAATATCTTCTATAAAAATCCATATTTTTATTAATGTGTCAGAAAGAAATCTAGTTAGAACACACAACGTATTTACTTCTGTTTTTAATCCATCGTTGCCATGTGACATCAAGCTTTTTTGACCTTTTATTATTAGTAATTACATACGAATCTATCATATATTAGACTTGAAAATTTAAATCTATAGAAAACTCTTAAGTTATATTAAATTGTCGAATAAATAAAATTTCTTGTTTTATCAACGAAAACAAAAACATTTTTTGATGACTATATCATAACAGTATAAAGAAAAACGAAGAAAAATAAAATAAGAATCATCAAAGTGCATCTTTTTTCCAAATCAACAAAAATAAAATCGCACCGAATTAAAAAAAATTGAAATTAAATTTGATCTCTATAAAATTGTTCACGATCAGGATCAATTCGATTGGCTAATTGTTCCAAATAGTTTATTCTTTTATCATTGTTCTCAGCTTTTCCTTTCCATAGTTGACATAAGGCTAACATGCACCATTTATTTCCTGATTCAAGTTCATCGAGTTCTTCTAAAGGTTTAATATGTTCATCTTCACTAATTAATTGAATTCCCAATTGTTTAAATAATAGCCATCGAGCATAAAACCATGCAGCTTGATCAGAACAATCAGTATAAACAGCACTTAAAACAAGCTGCCATTCAGTTGATAGCAGAGTAGAACGACGAGACGGATTGTGATCAAGAAGTTTATCTAAATATTTTGAACGATAATGCCATGCAGAATAATTTGACAGATTAATACCAATTGTTGAACGAAGAAATGATAATTCATTTTCATAAAATGGTTCTAATTCAGATGTTGATGAAGGACACAAACGTTCAAGAAGATAATAACGATATGCCCAACAATGAAAATTTCGTTCATCATACTCTATTAGAAAATAAAATAAAATAAAATATTTCATATAGATTCAATGTTCAATTATTATCAATGGAAATTATCAATTCATTCAAACTGCAGAGTTTTAAATGAATTATACAATGTATATCGCATCGAATTCAATTCGATCATAATTACTGATCTTTATATTTTATCCAATACATCTTAGTCAATAATAAAATTTTCTTCTTCTGGCACTATTTGAATATCAGAATTTGTATCTTATTTATCGATGTGTAATACATCACTGAGTGTATTATTACTTTTGAGACATCAAATTTTGAAATTTTAATCCTTGAAATATAGATAAGCAACATAATGTGAATGATAAATTGAAAATAAAAATATAAATATGATACAAATAAGAGTAACTTTACTTTTCTATGTTGTCTTCTCAGATTTTTATTACAGTTGTTCATTCTATATAGAATTCACTTTTTGACGAAAGTTTCATCAAACTATTGATACATACATTTAATTGTATCAGTGTAAATAATGCTGTTTCAAAAATTTACACAGACACGAATCGATATAACCCAAGAATGACCTGATTACACAACTTTTCTGTAAAAGTTTTATACGAAACGAAGAAGAGAAAAGTGAGATTCTATACTGAACTTTTCAAATATTGATCTTAACTGTTTGCTTTTCTATGACAACAGAAAATAAAACAGTAAATGTTGCTTTTTTACGAAACAAAATATCACAAACCTAAATATTTTTTACATAATTCTAATTCATTTTGATAAAGATTCAAATTAAATTTTTCTTTTAATTGTTTTAAACACCATTGTCTTTGATACCAACATGAATAAGATTTTGAATTTGATTTCAGACACATCTGTGTTACTTGTAATTCTTTTTCTAAATATTCTTTTTGTTTATCATTTTCTAATTTAACGATTGATTCTCTTCGAATATTCCAAAGTGTAAAACAATCTGGATGATCAACAAGAATATTTTCAGTTTGTTTTAAAAGATTAAAAGAATCCATTAATTGGCGGTTATTTAATATATTTTCATATTGCGTTGAATATAATCGAAGTTTTTCTGCTCGTTCACGTTCACGTGCAGCTTTTTGTTCAGCTGATGTTCGTACTTTAACTTGTCCATGAACAGACATCTACAAATGAGATAGCCTACCGTGATAAAACAATTGTTATTTTTTTTAATATGCAAACGATTAAAACTAATAAAGAAATGAAGTTTATTTCTTGTTTCTTTCTCGTTGATGTTTTGTTTATTTTTATTTTAATCAAAAAACCGAAACATTTATAAGCACACAAAATATTGTTCCATTGTGTGTAATATTTCGAATTTTATAAACGACGACCACGACGACCACCCTTTCGTCGAGTACTATCAGAAGGAATTGGTGTTACATCCTCTTTAAACAAAAAAATAAGTAAATAGTTTATCGATTAATTAAAAAGAAAAACTGACCAATTCTTCCAATTTTAAGACCTGACCGAGCAAGAGCACGAAGAGCGGACTGTGCACCAGGTCCAGGTGTTTTTGTTTTATTTCCACCAGTTGCACGAAGTCGAACATGTAAAGCAGTAATACCTAATCCTCGACAACGTTCAGCAACATCTTGTGCAGCCAACATAGCCGCATATGGTGATGCTTCATCGCGATCAGCTTTTACTTTCATTCCACCTGTCACACGAGCAATGGTTTCTCTAAATAAAAGTATTTTTTTTTCAAGATAAAAATAAAAATTTTAATAAAAATAGCTAACTTACTTTCCTGAAAGATCAGTCACATGAACAAAAGTATCATTGAAACTTGCATAAATATGAGCAACACCAAAGTTAAGTTCACCGTCAGCAAGTTGTGGACCTAAACTAACTTGTTCTTGTTTAGCTGGTTGTTGACCTTTACGTGGACCCATGATGCTCTTTTTTTCTTTATATGAATGATCTAAGAGAAAGATAAGTATCTAGAAGAAGAAGGCGAAGAAAAAAAACAGTTTTCACGCTAGCTGAACGCCATAACGAATATTTATTGAAAAGAAAAAATATTCGAAGCAAACAAGATGACTCTTGTATTCATTTTGTGATGATTTCATTTGGACCAATCGTCTCACGATATAATGTATTATTCAAATGTTTCAATAGTTCTTAGCAGTTTAGTAGAAATAATAATCAATTATTATTTTTTTGTTATCTAAGAGATAATTAAAGTACAAATAAATAAAACGTTTCTGATTTCTATAAGATGTCACTAGTAGTCTATTCAAATAAATCGTTTTAACAATTTATTCTTATTTACTATTTTGAAAAATTTAATAATTGATATTTTAACATAATAATAATATTATCAACGAGTCTATTTATGGTTGGTTTCAATTAACCAATCGTTTGCCAATAGGAATGAAACAATGGCTCAAACAGACACGGATGTGAAGTTCACTCTCAAAAACTAATTCTACGAAAAAACAATGTCGTCATCAAGTGAAAATATGATATTAAGTGCTATATGCACTCGGGCAATTCTAAATTTATTTTGTAAAATCTTGTTTCGTTTTTTACACTTTTTTCTCAATGGTCTTATTCTTCGTCAAATTGATGTAAACATAATTGGAATAGCCAATGTACGTCTACAATTACTCTATACAACGATATTATTTCTATCTCGTGAAGCATTTCGTCGAACAGTACCAAAATTAAATGATCGAAGTTCTATTCATCATTATATTAATTTAGTTTGGTTGATACTTCCCGCCGGTTTATTTATAATATCATTTACATTACCGTTTACATTATTTATTCAAACAGATGGTGCTGAAAAATATCCATTTTATTACTATGCATGTTCATTCTATGCTTTGGCAGCGTTTATTGAGCTTTTATCCGAACCATTTTACTTATTAGCCACGGTAACATTAAATTATCATATTAATATTTACATTGAAATGTTTGCGTCGACTGTCGGTGAGTCTTATTCTGTCAAAGATGAAAATGATGCACGATTTCGTTGCTTTTTTAATAATAGTAGTTCATATGAGGATGTTTCGTATTTGATATAAAGTGATGAGATAAAAAGATAAATATTGTTTTCGCTGAAAAATGGTTCACATTATAATCGATGTGAAACGCTTAGTTAGACTTAACTAGAACAACTATATATAAAACGTAGGAATTTCATCGACGGAAAAATTATATTTAAGCAATGAAACACACCATTGAAAGAATACAATAGAATTTCTTACAATAAGCACCAATGTTTGTTGTAATCCCGTTCATTTCTGCTTTTATCTCTTACATGCTATTAGAACTTAGTTTCATCACTATTTCAATCTGAGTAATTAGTAGAATATGATCGTAAAGTAGATAGGAGCTATGGAACTGAAATGATGAGATAGAACGACTCTGAAGATTATAAGAAAGAATTGATTTTGTTTCATATTGATAATTTTTGACCATAGTCAGACATAAAACAAAGTACTATTTTATATCACATGCTCAAATGATTGGCATTGTTGATAGGTTTCTCATTGAAATCAATAGAGTTGCATAGCGGATTTATTAAATACTAATTTCCGATGATGATATTAGTTCGACATGTTGCAAGATTGAATAATTTTTATTTTATAATTATGAGATTACAGTAATAGAATTCAAGAATTTTTTTACTAATGGTCGTAATATTTTATCTTCCAATTGAAATGTATGTTTATTGTTAACTATGACGATTCCTTAGTATCATTGGAATTCATTGAAGCATAATTCAAAAGTTATAAAAAGCTGATTGACAATACAGTCTATTGCATGCAATCAAATTTTTCATTTCTTTTGAGTGAAAATCGAACTGAAAACTTGTATAATACATCCACTAAATACAATCGAGATAGAATTGCTTGATAATATTCTTATATAGTTGACTAGTGTCAAAAATGAGTTTTAGTAAACATTTTATTTTATATCAAATTTTGTTTATAGGATTCACAATTCAAGCAATTCTCATTTATATGAATCGTCAATCAGCGCTTTATTTCTATGGTTTTGGTTACATAATATATTCTTTATTAATAACAGCAAGTTATTATCTATATTTTTTAACTCGTCCAAAAGAAGAACGTCGTCGTTTATTTAAAATATCATCATTGAAAGATTTGATAATAAAACCAACACATCCATATTTCGATTATAAGTTATTTAATGAAACGAAAACATTTTTTAAACAAGGAGTTTGGATGAAACTTTTAACTGAAGGTGAAAGATATATTATGTCCATATTTAATCTTATTTCATATAAAGATCAAGCAATATTTGATACAATTAACAATTTAGGTTCACTTTTGCCACGTTTAATCTTTTCAACGTTGGAAGAAAGTGCTTATACTTATTTTCAACAAACATTATCAAGAACCAAAACAATTCAAGATCAACATATTCAAGATGATCAAATGTTAAGTGTATCAGAACAAGATGAAGTAATCGAAAAAAAAGTTTCATCATCATTATCAGCAGGTAAAACTCAAAACCAAGTTTCTTTGAAATAAAATAAGAAAAATATCGTTTCTTAATATTCTTTTTCCTTAATGTATTTTTCCATTAGATTAATAACAACAAAAATAGTGAAAAATAATGATGTCGTGTCTTAGAGATTAATATAACCATTAATCAATAAAAATTTATCTCTTACTTGAACATATTTGAATATTTTTTTCCAATAGATCAATGTCATTAGATAGATTTCATTGTACCGGTAAAAAATAAAATTTTCTGAAAAATAATGAACAGGAGTGAAGCGTTCGAATTTGTTATACTTCATGATGAACGATTTTATTCTTATTCGTGTATTTGAACAGAATATTGTTTATGATTAATAATAAGAGAAAGAAAAATAAGTGAATTTAATGATAAACCAAGTATTTATTAAATCATTATTTATCATTAAAAAAGAAACTATAATTGATTTATTTTTGTAACTAAAATTTTTGTTTAGAACAACAAACAATTAAATTAAACGCATTAACATTTTATAATTATTTACTTCGTTTTGTGATAATAATATCACTATTAGTCATAACATTTGGTATTCCATATTCTCGAATTATTCTTAATTTCTATGGTGGTTCAAATTTAATTGAAGGTTCTGGTCCAACACTTCTTCGTTTATATTGTATTTATATATTATTTCTTGCAATAAATGGAATCACTGAGGCATTTTCTCAGGCAACGATGCCAATAGAACAATTAGAAAAATATAAAAATTTAATATCAATCTTTGCTTTATTTTATCTTGGAATATTTTATATTTTAATAAATATAATTGGTATATATGGAATAATAATAGCTAATTGTTTGAATATGTTATTACGTATCATAACAAATTTATATTATATTCATCAATATTTTGATTCCATGCAAAGATCAAATCCATTTCAATTTTCATTTTATTATTTATTTACATTATTTTTATCATCATGTATTTGTTATTATAGTGAAACATGGTTCGCTAATACTTTGATTCATTTTATTTTTGGAATTTTCTTAGGTTCTGGAATGTTGCTTGTAACCTGGAAGCAAGAAAAAGAAATGATTCATTATATATATTGCATTTTAAGATTAAATCTTCAGAAGAAAATTTCTTAAAAAAAAACAATGAAAAAACTACTTGTTCTTTTTAATTCTAGATGTTATATAAAACAAACGAAGAAAAAGCTACTGAATATAATTCAACAATTGATCAAGAAAATGAAAACCAAGGTGAAATAATCGTTTCACGTAGTAGTAGTCAATCAATTCAACATCCTTTACCTGATAAACGTGAAGCATTACGTTTGAATAATTTACCACCAACAACATTATGTGCTTATGTTAATCATAAAGTAACATTATGTAAACCAATAACACGTTCAAAAGCAATATCATGTGCACCGATAACATTTAATCGTGCAACACAAACATTATTAGATGAAGAAACGCCACCAATAAGTTTACTACCAATACCAGTGGGACTTGTAACACCATTACCATTAGCGTTAGGAACAACGGATTGTCCAGTACCAGTGCCAGTACCAATACCTGTTCCATTTCCACTTTTTTTCGTTATTAATGATCAAAAATTTCAAGACTACGAATCATATTTGCAAAAATTGAAAGAAGTTTTACCAACAAATGATGAAGATACACAATTATTAGTTTATGCACAAACACTTTTCCCTAATGATGATCTTCTTGGCTTAGGAAAATTTAATCCCAAGGTATTTATTGTAGACAATTCGTATTGTTTTTTTGAAAATTTTCTATTGAATTTCAAAAATCAAAATCGTATTTAATACAATATTCTAATAGACTACTTCATTAAGAAAATAATAATTAAATTCTATTATTAGTTATAGCTCAATAGTTTCTTTTATTTAATGAAAAGAAACTGATACAAGTTTAAGAATGATATTGACAGCTTATGCATTGAATTCTAAAACAATTCTTAAAGTAGTTTGAGAATAAAAATTCATTTCATTTGTAAAATCATTAATCTTTAAATAGTTTGTAGCATAATCTTCAGAAGAAACAATAATATTTTTATATTGTTTAATCTTAAGTTTTGAACCTAAAGTATCTCTGAGGATCTAAATGTTTGTATGACAGTTTGAATATAAGAATAAGTGTAGACGAGTATAATAGTAATTCTTTAGGTAAATATATTGACTTTTCACACAAATCCTACGCTTACGAAGACTCTTGTCATAGGTGTATATTATCAACGAAATTAGTTACTATTGATTCATTGAACATATAATAATATTAGAGCCATTATAATTTGAACGAATTTCTTTTTTTTGTCGTTTTTTTTAGAGTTCACCATTGGATGAAGTTGAAAACGATGAAGTACATATAGTAGGAAGAGGATCAGATGGAAATAATCAAATAGAACAAGAATTAACAGCAGGAGATAATGTATTAAATAAATTAGTATTTGACTTTGAAGATTTTGATTTGTCAACAATGGCTTTAACAGGTGGAGAACAACATTTAAATACAACAAATGGAAATTCATCTGAAAAAATTGAATATTTAATGAGACAAGAAGATGCAAAATATATTCTTAAATGGCATTTTGGCGTTAAACTTTTTCGTGCATGGATTGAAAGTAAAAATAAACCAATTAGACAAAGATTATTTCAACGTAAGAATTTTCTTTTAATTTTTTTCTTTTAATTTCATTTTTCGAACAAAATAGAAAACACACGTGTTCGCAATTTATCATCAAATGATGCTGACAATAGTTTATTAAAACGCCTTTATCGTTTTGATCCGTTATTATATCGTGCTGATGAATTAAATACAGCACTTTGTCTTTTTTTAAAAGAAATTCGTGATTTATACGATGGAGATTCAATTTATTATCTTTGCTTGGGTATTCAACATTATTTACGTGAAAATCATCCATTATCATCATCAACCACCACGACACGTCGCTTTAATGAGGGACATTTCTATCGTACAGAATCAATATTTTTTGATTCGACGTTTTTTCAATTTCAATCAAAACTTCATTCAATACTTGTTCGTTTTTGTCATCATCGTGATCCATCAAGACCATTATCGATGCGTGGACCAACATCTTCAAATATTGATGATCGTCCATCACGTATTGAAGAAGAGCTATTATGGGAAGCAAAACAATTAGGTGCACATACACCATGGGTTTTGTTAAATACAATTTTATATTTCAATACGAAATACTTTTTTCTTAAAACTGTTAATGAACATCAAGTTTTATCATTTTCAAATGTTAGAAGACATTATAAAAGAAATGTTGGACCACATGGAGAAGAATATGGAAAATCAGTTTATTTAAGGTTTGTTCCAATCGATATTTTTTATTTTAGTAGGAAATAAGACAACAAATTATATGATTGAGTTGAATTAAATACTTTAAAATAACCTATAATTAATTCAATGGTAGATTTCTATTAAAAATATAAAATATGTCTTTGATTCATTAGACGACAGCTGTTTGATAGGTTATTTTCAATAAATATCTCTGAAATTTCTATCAAATATTAAAAATTTTCTAGTGTGTTACGAGATCATTTTTTGTTTTGTTTCCATTATCCTAATCGCAGAATTTTTTCGACTGTCCCGTTCATAGAAAGAAGCATGAAGATTCTCTATGATTGCAAACACGACGTTTTTCTTATACCGACAATAGAAAAATAAGCATCTACATCTATAATAAGTATTTTATCGACTATCAAATAATTATATTACTTGAGATTTATATAATAATAATGATAATTAACTTTCATTTAATTAATGTCACAGTTGATTTTTATGGAATTTCAAAGAAAAAATTTCCTATTTCATATCTTTACACAGAAATGTATAATTAAATTAGTGCTGATTTAGAAGATAATTTGTTTCATAAATTTAAAAATGAAAAGTCCGTATCAACTATTCGAAGCTTTTGTTACATAAAATGATATTGATTTGTATACTTATGCGAATATGGTTTTTTTGTTAATTCTAATTTTATCTTTTAAATGATTAGATATTATCCACCATCAACAACAATCCATGGAATGGAAGAACAACAATTAATTTATGAACAAGCAGAAAATTATGACGATCCATTGCGCTGTCCAGTTAAACTATTTGAATTTTATTTAACAAAATGTCCTGAAAGTGTAAAATGTCGACAAGATGTTTTATATTTATTACCTGAAGCAACATGTGTACCTGAATCCCCACTTTGGTTTTCATCTCAACCATTGTCTGCTTCGACAATGGATCATATGTTAACGAGAATAAAAACTGTGCGTGATGTAAATGATATTCATTTGTCAATGAGTCAAACATCATTCGACAATAATAATCAAGGACGATCATAAACTTTTTTGTCTTTTTCTGTGTATTGTATTATTTGTTTCTTGTTGTATCCCGTTATTAGTTTGTGAAAACAAAGTTCGACATTGAATGTCACATGTCATCAGCTTCTGTTTTTATAGATAGAAAAATATTTGTTTGTTTATTGTTTAAAAAGCCACATTCATTGTCATGTTGGTTTTTTCTCTCATTATGTTTTGTTCATCAGGAAAAAAAGCAGCTTGTATCTATTGTATCTATCATCTTGCATTTATCTTATCATATTGATTAAACAACAAAAATTTCAATTTACAATTTAACTAAAGACACAAATTTTTAATTCAGTTCATAGTGTTTTTGGGAGTTATTTGTCTTCGAGTGGAGTCGATCATATTTTGGTAGAAGGCGAATAACTTCTCCATGAGGTAAGATATAATAGCGCAGATTTTTGAAAGGACATGATTCAGCCATATTTTTTAAATGTCTTGGTAATTCATGGGCATTATACCAACAATGTGAAAGTGATAGATATAAAAGATTTGGAAGAAATTCTGCTTGTATTGAAGTTAATTGTGTTTGCGTTGGTTTCTCTATATGTAATGAACGAAGATTAACCAATTTGGATAAATCCAAATCATTACAAAATGTTGAAAGATATAATGAAATAATTTGGGGAGCGAAATGCGAAAAAGATTTTATGTGAAATATATCTCTGGAAGGAATATTTGCATGAAAACGAGCAGAATTTATAATTCCATTTATTCGACGATGATTAAGAGGATAGAATGCAACATAAAGATCAACTAAACGAATATAATTTTCAAATAAATATAATATAATTTCATCTGGTAGCTGTTCGATATGACCGATTTCATTGATATTTAATACACTGGTAGGTGCTTTGGCCATTGAAACATACTATTCAATCAGTTTTAATTACGCTGTTGACGTTATCATTTTTTGTTTTGAAAAAATTCAATATATGATCCCAAAATTAACTTTTCATAGTCAAAAACAAATGCATTATCAGTATTACTCATATGTTTTTCTATTTTGTCATGGACGCAACGTCACGAATGTTATTTCTCTTTCTTCCGCTGTATCCAAGAAAAGAAGAAAACAAATTCAAAGCATAAAATAAATAAAGATAAAACACGTGTTTTTTATGGGAATAAAAGAAACAATACATTTTTTTCAATCGAGATGTGTGAAAATGTTAACTTAGATCGAATTTATTCAGTTAGATCTGAAAACGAGACCTGAGGGTGTAGGTGTGAGTAATGGTTTATATTGCCTTTACACTAGCATCCATCTACACTCAAACCGAGTTTTAAACTTTTCAAAAATGTCATTTTGATTTTTTTAAGCAAGATATTGTTTCCAAAAAATATCAATGGCAGATCATTGGATGCAGAATTCTTGTCGCTACAAGATGACCTATTAAGTTTTAACTTTTCCAGCTAAGGACAATTCGTAGACTCACGCAGCTTCTAACTAACTGTCGTTTATGAGTTCCCATACAGATGTATCGATTTCGTTGTTGTGTATAATGAGTATTCATAAAGAAAAGACTAAAGCTGATAGAAATCAAATCATTCTGATCATGTCAAGTGCCTCAAAATTGGTGGAGAAAAAAAATGTCTCGCCGTTACTAAAGCCGCCATGTTTGTCTTTTTTTATATTTTTATCTAAGTAAAACCAGTTTAGAGAAAACTTCTCGCTATTTAAAAGTCTGACCGAAGCTCTACAAAGCTGCGTCTGAAAGTGTTTGATTTAGGGTAACAGTTTCACAAGAAATTTCAGTTTTATTCGCTGCCCTGAAAAAAATCGTCTTTTTATTTCACAGCGTTTGGCAATAAAAATTCCTCTCTACCAGCTCGAGACTTTGTCCAAAACTGATATTTTTTTTATAGAATACACATAACACGACAAGTTGCATCAAATGATGTTCGAACAAACTTTCTAATTATCAAAGGCTCCGAGATAATGCAAAGAAATGTGTCAAAAACGTCACAACGTTATGCTTGGAAAAGATTATATACATACACATACGCTCATGTAATAAACAGCAATAAAAGTTTTTAAAAGACTTAAAAGCATTTATAAAGATTATTTTACTTTGCTCGAATATCTTTTACTTAAAATAAACATTTACTTTAATTTAGTCCGTTTGATAATGTGAAAAGGAATTGTATTTAAATATATGTACCTGTAAAATATTGAAAGAATATAAAATAATCACTAAATACGGAATCAATTTGTTTAAAAAACACGAAAATTTTACGAAAAAAAGTTTTTTAGCAATATTCTACTCTTTTTCAATTTTGATGAGAAATACAGGAAAATTGATCCAAATATAGGAGAAAATAGGATTTTTTTTAAATATTGGATGAATCCAAGGACAGCGATTATCTTGAACCTGAAATGATAATAAGATCACTTTCTGAAAAAGTAATTCTTCTGTATTGATGCTTCTCAATATAGATAGTTGAACTAAGCTATACTAATAAACTAAACCTTAGCAATGGACATCATCGTAATATCTTTTTTTTAATTTACTTCTTGCTAAAACCTTGAACATTCTACAGCGAATTTCAATTCGAGTCTTTTTGTTATATTATATATAATAGATATTGAAATAAAATGAATTCAACAGAATCAAATACATATTCGATAGTAATAAGAGTAAACGAAAATATATGTCGGTCTTTGTGTATTAATGAAAAAGTCATATGTTGTCGAATTAATCAATTCATTTATCAGAAGACTACGATGTGCAAAGGTGAAATGCATTGCATATTCGATGCTGAAGATTTTTTCTTAATTTCTGCTGTGCTTATCTACTCTACTTAATCGCATGAAAGTTTTCTATGATTATTTATAATAAAATAATTAATTCTGTATGTTTCAGAGGACTCAGATTTTGAAAAGGATTTTTTTCCTCATATATGTAAGAAGGTCTTGATCAGCATTTCGATTGTCGAAGGGAAAAAGCGTTTTGTGATCTTCCAAATAAAGCATGTGTGTATGAATAAAATCGATCTTAAATAGAAAAATAATATATATATATATATATATATATATATATATTGATATGTCTACAGTAATGAAAGCTATCTGTAGTCAAGAAAAGCCTTCATAATAGAGGATAACTAAAAAATAGAGTCGTTTATTGAGGAGAATAACAATAACTAAGCGGATAAGAATTTACCGAGGAGACTAATAGCTGAATGAAAAATAAAAAAACATGATAATAGTTTGAACATAAATGTAAAGTTGTAATCGTTTACTGTGCATTCGTAGTACAAAATTTTCTTTCCGGCGTAAGAGGAAAGACGAAAGCACTATGGATGATAAAAAATCCCCACTTTTCGATATGAGTCTACTAAGTTGACCATAAGAAATACGTAACATTTACAAAACATTGTTTCTTTTATGTACACAATAGTGCTTCATTTTGTATCCGAATTTTAAAAAATTTTTGAAGTCTTTTTTAAGATTTAATAACAATAAAATGAACCGAAATTTCAATATTGAAATTTTTAATCAGTTTCGATTTGAAGCAAGTATGTTCCCATGAATATTTGTTCTTGTAGTTTTGTGATCATGTGTCGATATGTTTAGCTAGTGAAGGTAAACTTAAATGACCAATAAAAGATTGCGAAATGACTCTTGATATGATGGATAGTGAAGAAACATTATCCAATGAATTAAAATATTCAATATGGAATCACATGTACGAGATTCATTCGGGCTCGTTTGAACGATTAGTTGAAAAATATTCGACTGTAGTAAAGTTTATACCTCGTGAACAAAAAGTTAGTATTTTTTTATTTTTATATTTCATTTAATAAGTCTAGGAAAGAGAGTAATATTTAAACTAATTATGACAATATCTATCGATAATTGTAGGACTTTCATAAAATTCGCATAATATGAGAACGTTACTTTCTTGTTAAAGTATTCAATTAATTCATAACTTCTTTAGGATAATGTTTATTATTAACTTGATATTTCTCTCACTTCAATCTGATGATGAGATAATGTCTATGCAGATTTATTTCAAGAAAAATCTTAGATTCCCCAATTAATATAATGTGATGTACCGGTGTTTTTCTTGAGGATAGTATATTATAGTGTGCTCTTTTCGAAACAATTGAGTTTTTTAAGTCTGTTAAAATTGATACTATTGTATTCGATATTCAATCTCGCATTTAATTGTTCTATTCAAAATAATAACCCACATCAATTTTTTATTTTCATTGTGTGTGACATATCTCTGAATCGTGTTCATCATCTGTACTATAGCAATATAAAACTGAAGTAAAAATGTTTTTGCCGTTGTTTAGGAACTTCTTAAGTGAAATAGTTTATTTAAAAAGTTGGGAGATCATTTCATAGGAAATAGTTTTCGCTCTTAATTGAAACCTTTGAATATGATCGTTTGAAATTATCAATAAGTAAATAAAATAAAGCAAGACGAGTAAAAACGAAGTCTCTGTTTCTGTAATTACGCATTGTACATATATATATATAACGCTAACTTGATTGATTGAGCCTCAAATTTCATGACAAAAAAATCAATTCTTATTTTTCTCTCTAATAACATATCGTTCTTAGCAAAGAGCGAATTCAATTTTTGCTATAAAATGCTAAATATTATTTCTTCATTGTTGTCAACGAATAGTAAATGAAATACAAAACAATACATTCATTTATTTTTATTCCTGAAAGAAGGTTATTATTAATCGAGATCCTATGAAGTTATTGATCGTTGTACAGCCAATTGAATTTATTTGATTATTTATTTCGAGGAAAGAATGAGCTGAAAAGCATAAAATGATTTCGAAAATTTGAAGAATGTTTCATTAATCGTATGACATATGCAGATCTATTAATTTTCCAAAACAACTTTGCTAGTTAAACGCATAAGATGACCTGTTTTTCTTTCTATTGTTCATATAATTGATGACCTCTATATAGTATGAAATGACCTTTTCTATCCTTATTAAGGCGTTCATTGGCAGAAAAAAGATGAACATTCTTTTTTCTCTTTAAAAGAATATGGTTTCTTTCTGTTTTTTCTTGCTTGTGATCGCTCGTTCACTTGAATATTATCCATTTTGATCAAATCAAAGACTAAACACTATTGCTTTTCCAAACAAAATTAGTTGTGTAAAAAACCCGACTTATATTAAGATTTTATTCAAAGATGGCCATTCAACAAGAGGATAAGGTCTATTTTAATTTCTTTTTTTTATCATTGTAAACTATTCTGTTTCCATGAAGCTTTTAAAAAATGAACCTATGTGATCTTTTTATGCTTCCTTCTTTACTTTTTTTAGAGGGATTTTTATAAATACATTCGTTAGGGACTTTTCTTCCTTAAATTCTTTTATCAAAAATTAAGACGTTGTATTCGGAATTATATTGAATAAAACACAAAAAATAAAAAGCAAAATATATTTCTAGCCGAATGAATAATTTCAGATAACATAGTTACGATATCAATTATAATCTTTGGGATAAGAATTATGACTTATAAATAGAAGTTACATCCGTTTCGTTATATTACATGAATATAATACAGCTCATAGTAGGAACAATAAAAAAACATAGCATTATCTTTAAGTAAGGAAGTCAAACAAAAAACGTTTAATAGATCTTTGTAATATTATAAAAGACATTATTTGTCATTAGTTTCCCAATCGAAACTAAAATCAGTAACGATATTTGAGCACAGAAGATTTTGAAATGCAATTGATATCAGAATGAAAAAACTTTGTTCCTTATGTTGATAGTCGCCTCCTTAGTTCGATGTCTTCAAATAAATCATCAGTGAATCCCTAAAATATCTTTAGATATCTTGTGATGAGTTCGGAGATTTTTGACAAATTCTAATCTCATGGTATACTTAGCAATCGATCTATTCACCTTTCGTAATAATTTGTTTTTAACTTTTCATAAATCGAAATCGATTTTTTTCAGAAAAGGCTATCGTTTAAAAAAAAATTCTATCTAAATTTTTCAATATGTCTGTGTACTATTAGACGAACTCTATAGAGTCACTGCGAACTCATGTCATAACAATGAAATGTCACCGAGAGTACTCATAAAAAAGCTTACGATATTTATTATTTAGAAAAGAAAAAAAGAAGTTATATTATAAATACAGAATCCTTTCTTTTTACGTTTGGCTTTATTATATATATCTATGACCACAAAAGATAATGGTGAATGGTTTTTTACTTGAGATATGCCTCAAAGATTCTCTCGAGACAGATCAGGATTTCTTGACAAGAGTCGACTATCAATGATTGTTAGCTAATTGGTAAAATAAACGAAATTCATCTATAATAAAACTCGATTTTCATGTTCGTCGTATGTTGACTGAAATATTTACATTTCCTTTCTTTTATATTTTTCTTCTGGTAAAGGCTTTTCAAGATTTTATTTTTCTTGGTTATTTATATAACTTATTAGTGTTTCTAATTTAAGTAATCGGCTAATAAGCACAGCTTTTAGCAAGTTTTTTTTGTTTGAAGAATTCTATGACATAAAATTCTGGAAATACTATACTTCTGTAATAATATTCAACCTAGAAGAAAGAATTTAAATTTTTTAAATTGTTGGTTACTTATCCTAAAGATCGAATATCATGATATATATATATACACGAGAATTTTGTTAAGCATCATGAGTATTTATCGAAAGACAGGAGAGAGAGAGAGAGCATGCACACGGCTCATAATATAGTTGATTTTTATAATACTCGAATTATCTCAAATCCCTTTTTATGATGTAAATTGAATATAAATGTGTGATGAAGATTAAAAACCGAGAAATATACATTCTTTAACAAATCAACAAAATTTCTATAAAACGAATTTTTCTTTAATAGTCAAAGAATAAGCATTGAATATGATGTTGGATAGATTTGCGAAAGAGAATCTTTAACTAATTTTTCTAAATCTTTTATTTGATTAACAATGTTCAATCATTTTCGTAAAACCGAGGATAATAAATATCTGATGTGGCTAATTTGCGTCTCAATTAATTACATATATATATATATATATACGTATATTTATCTTTAACACAAAATATTTTATTTTCTATTCAAGATCAATAAAGCATTTGAATTGGTTGGAACATCATATGGTAAAATTAATCAAATTTTATCAAAATTATTTACGAGTATAATCAATGAACAAGAAGCTATTCACCAAATAGTTCTTGAAAATAAAAAAATAGAAAATATGTTAATTGAAGTATTGATGTGCTCTTCAACAACAACCCAACAACATACAACATCATCTTTAGGATCCTTGTGAAACGGTGTGTGCATCAGGGTGTTTTTCTATGTTATTGATTCATTTTTCTTTGTTTCGTACATGCACACCGTGATTGTGCACTTCATGTTTGAAAATATAGTTACTAAATGAAATTAATCAATTTTCTAAATTCCGGAGGAATGTCTACCACGAGTTGCTGAATCGGAGGCTGCTAAATAGGGAGATAGTTTTTAATCTTTAGATATGATTTACTGTTTTTTTTAAAACAAATGCCATATTATTCTAGGCATCTTTATTGCAAATAGTATATGGAGAGATATTTTCTCATGAAAAAGCATAAAAAGACAATGCACTTTGACAATTCATTCGTTACGAAGAAAATGAAAATAGTCCGTGAATCAGTAGTCCATTCCTTTTGTAAATAAATCTAGCAGCCGCCGCTGAAGACATTACTCATTCAAATAACGAGCCGCTGGAAATCTTCAAAAATTGAAAACTGTTGCTCGCCGTCGCCGTTCAACCCTTCGGCTGACACCTCTAGTCGCGTGTGACAAAAATCCGGTTCCAAGAGCAGTATTGGAGCGCAAACACTTTACACTACAGCGAGCTTTAATTTGAGAACAGTTTTATTAGAAAGAGCATATTCAATTACGTATTGGGTAAGAAAATCTTACTGGTAAACCTCGAAAAGCTTCACTTCATAAAATTGAGCATAGCATTATTTCTAACCGCATGGCGCAGCTGAGGCGATATTTAGCATTTATCGACAAAACAAAATTAGAATATCTAAGTCGTTCGTATATATTCTGATAGACAAAAACATTCTGTATCGAAGGGGCCTATTTTCAAACAGTATAAATCGAGTATTCATGAACCTTTCCCAGGTCGAACATTCTGGCCACCAGATCCCGTAGGATACTCCAGTAAATATGCGAGAAAGTTGCCATATCCTGCAGGAAAACACGGGAAATCGCTGGAACATGGAAGTAGTATTCCGATCAAAAATACGGTCGGATTTTCCCGGCGGATTCCTGCCAAGTTCCGGTGCATTCCGGCAGGAATTGATCGGAAATCACCGGAAAAAATCCAAAACTTTTCCAGCCAGAATACTGCATCCACAAAATCAACGGAAATAACCGAAACCGACCGTTTTCAGGCCGGACTCTTTGACCTGGGTTGGAACAATAGCTGTTTTTGTTAAGTCTTCCAGAGAGTGCTTCATATCTTTCTAGTATCCAATGAATTTTAAAATCTAACATGATATTTGAGATCTGGAAACTTGTCTTTATCGAAATATAACTACTTTCACAAAAGTCAGAACAAAACGTTTTTTCGATCCTTGAGGGGTACTCCAGATGTTAAAAATTGAGTTTTCATAAAATACACAATAACCTCGTGGAAAATAATCAGAATTCAATGATGATTCTCAAGCTAATAAAATGAGGTGCACATTTTCTGTGAAGTCAGCTTCCTAATTTAGCACACCTCTTTTTTGATCGTGCAATTAGTATATTGGCCAAGATTGAGGGAAAACAATCAGTTTAACAGAACATTTTGTGGTCCTCTCGTATACCACTCCTTTATTTTATTGTTCCTTTCCCACAACTGTTAACATCTCTAGCATCTTTCAGCACCTTCGGCACTTTCTAGTAAAATTTGGTGCTTGGAGTCAGCACTTCCCCCTTGGTTTCACTTCACAATGATGTTATTCATTCACTGGTTCTTGCAATGTATTTCTTTTATTTCCTAGCACACGTACATCATTTGGGATAAAAATAAATCATGTCTTTTATCAATTACGAGAAAAAATTGATAAAAAAAAAGGTAATCTTTCTGTAAAATACGACAAATTCACAATCCATCACGTCACATGCATGAGTTGATTTACTTTCTTTTGTTCAGTTGTATTCAAGGCTATTAGGTGTATCTTGTCATGGCATATAGAATTCATCGTAGTCTATTGTGACTTAAACTAATAAATCAATTTGAATACCCTCTCTCTCTAATGCAAAGCGAAGACCTCTAAACATACTGAAAACTTTTTATGAGACCCCATTATATCCAGAAAGCTTTAGCTAGACAAGAGTATATTTTGTTTCTGGTAGTTTCTTTCGAAGAAAATCAAATTTGATTTTTTAAAAGTTCATTAGTCTATTCGAAACTTTTTATGCTCGATTTTTTTCATATCGATAAGATATTATTGTATTGTTATGGAATGATCTGCACTGTCTAGAACAAAATAATCAATAAAATAGTAATTATTTCAGGAAAAAAACAGTTACTACAGTTTTTTACCTTGATATTTAATCAGATAATGAAATAATACTCTCTAGTATGTAATTTATAGTAATTAATCTTCGTTTTGATATGTTAATGTAACAGGCAAAGAATTTACTATGAACTTTTTCATAGGCGTTTGAGTAGTGCTATCAAGTTTCTTGAACTTCAAGTGCGAAGAAAAAAAGATCAGTAGATAAAAACGCCAGATTACGAATTGGTAATTTGTATATTTTTCTTTAGGAAAGTACATCGGTATCATTTTATCACCATCATCAAGATCTCGAATACAATCTAGTTTTTAAAATAAATTGATTATATAAGAATGATAGATATCAGTAGAAGCTAATTGCTCCACTAAAATTGAAATAAAACGTAATTCTTGAGTGTAAAAGATGCGTTTGCCGACTGTTAAACCGCGAAGAACACAAGTATCTGAATATGAACAAAATTACAAGATCGATCTTTCTAAAGTATCCAAAGTTGACTTTCAGCACTTGATAAATTCCGGCTAAAGCGGAAAGAATGTACTAATATTTTTAAAAGAGAGTTCACAAAATAGAATCCCAAAATTTGTTTTATTGACAATCAAGTAGTCTTGGTCTGGTCATATTTTACAGATTTAATTGCTTTTTGTAATTTGATAAAGTGTAAACTCTCAAGAATGGCTTTCTATTTATAGATCTATATATTAATACCAAGTTAGAAAAGTTTCATTTCAAAAAAATGGAATCTGGTAGACATTGTCACCTCTGGCACTTGCTCTAAAAACAGACAAGAAAGTCGAACAGTTACATTGAATTTTCTAAAATATGCAACTGGCAAAGATTTTCCTAAAGAAAAGTCATTTTCCTCAAACCTAAAGTAATGAAATTTATGAAAGAATTCACCATAAAAAGGAGATTCCTAATAAAAGATCATGCATCCATGTCAATTTGAGTGTTTCTGAAGATGATTATTAACAGTCGTTCGAAGGTTAATTGAAGTCAACAATTCTTGTTGTGATATTTTACTAATAAAAGTCACGTCAGACTTTGAACGAGAATCCAGAATTTTGAAAAAAAAGAAGAACATCATACGACAAAATCATTCATCCTTAATATTATATTTTCCTTTTTAATTAAGCAATAACATATCTTAAATATATCGGACATGTTTATGTTTATTTGATTTTTGCTATTGTTTATCTGAACCTATATCTAACATGAAGCCGTCATACAATCAATATACAAAATCAAAAACAAATACAAATAGAATAATACAAAGAAAAATATGTAAACTCATTTCAGTTGGAAAGCAAAGATTAAATGGCAACCAAAAAAAGTGAAGATTACAATTGGTAAGACTTTCATGGAATTTCATAGAATTACTTTCATAACAATATGTCGAAAAGAGCACAACAATTTAGATAATGTCCATTCAACCGAGTGGACACATGCACAACAGTTATAAATGAGATTGAGAATGACGACGGTATGCTTCAGTTAATTGAAGATGAGAAACATTTGATGACGAGTAAGGATAACTCTTCTGATAATAAATTGCATCTGCGCAATCTTTAGCATGTTGCCGTAGAAATTTAATTTCACCGGCGAAGCATAAACCTATTGTAATAGACAAGTATATTATTGATCTCAAATCTGCTGTTTGTTTTTAATGAAAAGCTTACAAGCACATAAAGCAGAAGACAATGCTACGCATTCTAACCAGTAGCTGTAGGATAAGAAATTAAACTCAGGTCGTGGCATCCAAAGACGATCTTGACTATAAGCACCATAGACACATACAGCAATCAGTTCGAATACAACTAGAAAAAAATAGACATCTTAGTTTCTTTTTTATATACTTCTTCGCAATTCGGCAGAAGTCACAGTCAAACATTTACGATGTACACCCATCGAAATAGTAGAGACCTGGATTTACTTCTAAACACTTCATTCTCGGGAAAAAATATGATGTTACTTTTTCAAGGTTACAGTTCAGGAAAACAAATTCTTCTATTAATTCATTAATATAGGGAAATTTACCCTTGATTCTCCTTCGATGGCTAATAATCACAGACTCACTATGTTGCTTTCCTTGAGTTATAAAGATTACACTAATTACTTATTAATTCTGCCTGGAAGATCAGACATCGAAGATAATTAATCAACAAAAGTGCAAAAAAAGTCACAAATTCAAAACTTTAAAATACATGCGATAATCTCTAAATGCAATGAAAAAGGTGAATAGAATCAATCTTTAGAAAGCCACTAATTCAGAATCTATATGTTTGATTGACTACAAATAAATAAGGCATGGTGAACTATCCCAAAACTGTAGTCAACAAAACAACTTACAAATAGAGAATGACATGATACAACAAACGAGTTGAAATCTCCATTGCCAACGAAATGAAGAAAAAACTGCTACAACTAAACTGGAGACAGTTGTTATTGTAAAAATTAATGCTAAAGTAGCAAATGCTTGTACCCATTTAAACCAAGCTACAAAAAAAAACAACAGGAAATCAATGATTTTCTCTTTAAACGAAGAACTCTTTAAAATCTCACTTGGAATAATCCAATCGCGAAAGCGATACATTTCATTTGTCCAAAACCAAAAACAACCTGTATATGGTATTTGTAAATCATCTTTATAATGACGATATTGATATAGGCATAATTCCCAAAGGCCAATATTTTGAAAATCTTTCGGCGTATCTTGATAACGTTTTGTCCAATAAGGTGATGCAAATGCTGATAAACAACTGAATCCACTGAATAACATGAATATTGATGCAACAAAAAAATTTGTTGAATATTCAGCAGCTCCAAAATGAAATATACTCATCTAGAAATAGAAATATCTTCTATTTTATTGTAATAAAAACTTTCAACTAATAACAAAACAAAAACAAGTTTTAATTTTTAATTTTTACTTATTTTTTTCCTCCACTGCGTCGGCGAACGGTTGTCCAGTCATCTTCATCGACATCCATCGATTGTTCCTTTGGTTTTTCTACTTTAGGTTCTTCTTCTTCTTCTTCTATCATATCATCTTCACTCTCACTAGATGATGAACTGTCATCATCATCATCATTTTTATGTTTAACCGACATTTGTACTGGTGGCGCATTCGCATGCTGTGTTTGTAATTCTTGTTGAACATCATTCAATTTGCCTTGTAAAATTAAACTAATATAACGAACAAATAATTGTGATAATTCACGACTAGAATCATCATCTAAAACTGTATTAAATTCTTCATCAAGTACTTCATCGAGATATTCTTGAATATCATTTTCATTGAGAGACATTGATGATGCTGATCGAACATTTCGTGTAAGATATTGTCCAAATGTATCAATAAATGCTTCATATTTTGCTTCACTATCTGGACCACCCATCGAATGGGTTACAGCTATTTGTAAAGCTGTCCATCGTGAAAATACTGATCGAATAATTGGCACAGTTATTGATAATAACGACATTTATGATTTAGAATATTCAAGAAGCAAGAAATTTCTTTTTTTCTTGCTTTGCTCACACATCTCCATTGATAACCGTCGTTCTTTTTCTCTTTCGACCTCTCTTTGTTTTCGTATATCAGAGCGCGCTAGTTATACATATGATCCTATTTTGATTGGATTAAAAGAATTTTACAGCGAACAAACAATTGAATTCAATTGGGAACAAAAAATTAAGAATGTTTGGCTTTGGTAGAAAGAGTTTTGAATCAAAGGAAGGATTTCATTGGAATACGATTATGTCTATTATCGCGGGAGTTCTAGTAGGACATACAGAATGAAATTGTCTTTTGAAAAAGAAAATCTTCCTTTTTTTCGTTTAGTTTGCAATCGGCTGGTGGATTATCATTGATATGAGTTGTCAATACCCGCAACAATCTGATTTTAACAGGATTTATCATATTATTGGTATAGTAGCTACATTAGCGCTTATACTGTAAGTTTGATAAAACAGTTTGTTTTCTTTTTCTTGAATAAATTAATCTTTTTTTCAATCGACTCAAGAGCCAATTCTGTATCAAATTCTCAAATCAGTAGTTATAATAATGCTAGCGTACGAATTGGTATGTTGCTGAACTATATATATATATATATATAAGATTATTTATTTTATATCGTAGGAGCTCGACTTATCCTATTTATTTCATTTATATTCGTATTTGGCTCATTTATTGCTAGTGTCTGGGTATTATTTGGTTACTATGTTGCTTATAAAAAAGAACGACTTTATCCTGGGCTAGCTATTTTCGGACAGAATCTCGCTATTTTAATTAGGTATGTAATGTAACTCTTGCTATTGTTGACATTCACTTCTACTTCTATTCTTTTTTTTGTTTCTTTTAGCACATTGATCTTGAAATTGAGTCGTAAAGAAAATATTCTTTATTAATTACTTATGATAATAATATTTCATTTATTACTGTAATTATTTTCACGTGTGAACTTTCTTCTTGTGTTATTATTATATAAAACAATAAAATATCAAATTTTAATGAAATGAATCGATCATTGATTTTGTTTAAAAAAAGATTATTTCATTCTGATGTATCGTTAGCTTTTTTTCTCTCTATCACAGGGGAAATCAGAACCTTCGAGTATTTGTCTAAAATTATAAACTACATATGAAAAAGAGGATATACTCGTGAGAAAACACGATTGCATACCAATATATATATATATATATATGTATATATATATATATATATGATTATTGCTTACATACAACATGACACTTTCGCTAATTTGTCATGAGACAAGATCAGTCTTTTTTTGTATATCTCCTTCTCTTTCCTATTCATTTACCACAGATGTGCTAGTGGGGTTGTCCGTATGAAAAAGTCAAATCAAAAATTGATTATTTGACGCGCTCTTTCCTTCTACTACTAACTTCTATCGTTGCTCTGCCGACTTGCTCTTTTTTTTTGACTTTCTTGCGCAAAAAGAAGAGAAGGCAAAATGAACCTCTCGACTTGCAATCTATTGTAGATCGACCGTCTCTCAATTAGTGTGCTAACAAGAATAAAGTAAAATAAGAAACATGCGGAAAACAGCCATTGATAAAATGTATACGATTCAAGATAGTCATGCGAACAAGTAGCCAGCGGCAGCGGACATTCCATTCCTCAGATGTCCTCTTGAGTTTACATATTCTTTCATATGTCTTAACGATATCGCGACTATTATAATCATCACCATCGTTGTTATAGGACGCAGCACGCACACATCGTCGTTGTCATCTTACTGAGTTCCTCTTCTTTTCTTTTCTTTTTCTCTCTTCTTTTTATTATTTATTATATGAGCTCATTCACAACTGAAAACATGCTGACAGCAACATCGTAGAGTCATAATGGACGAAAAAATTGTTTTGATCGATTTTTGTCGTTGTCAGTGAACTATTCGTAGTGCTGGTGTTTTCTTCGATGAATTACATCGTAAGAAAAAATATATGAGAGAATTGCTTGGCGAATGAATGCAATATAGTCTCGATAATGATGGCATGTGGAGAAATGAAACAAATACGCAGATACTTATTATTCTTCTAGAAAAATTGCGATCGATATTATAGGCAAATACAGACAAAAAAAGAAAGAACGATTTGAATCCTATGCGGACAAAATCGAATTTTTGCACAATGTATTATTCATCTATATGACATAATATCATTCGAAATAAAAAGTTTGCGTATGACAAAATCTGTGATTCTAATTAGTTTTAATTCTTAATTGGTATACATTAGTTAGTTGATAACAGAAGCAGAAGCGTTTTTTTTTCCTTGATTGATGATAGCAAATATTGTCTACACGAATGTTGTAGTTGGTTTTTTTCTAGATTGTTTATTCTTTGACTTATGTCTTTCTCTCTGTCAATCTGCCGAAGTAAGTTTTTCACCAAGTGTTATCCTTCCGTTGCTTGCTCTTCTTCTACACCGGTATTTCAATAAGAATAAATTTTGACTTCTAATTGTACTGTCTATTAATGTTTACTTCGTCTATCCTTTGAATAAATTATTATATAGAAGCTTAACTAAATCTTTATTTCTAGTATGCACTTTTCTTTAAGAACCAATCACTGGTTTGCATGATTAACGTGCTCTTCTGTTTTTACATGGCTATACTATCTTCGTTATATGAATAGATTTCTAATTGGTTTTTAGACTCGATGTTTTCTTTTTTAGTGGCTATTTTTAAAAACGGAAATACATATCATTCTATATATAAATATACAATGAAAATTATCGATAAATGTATCCTGGTAATGTAAAGATATTTGAATGATGAGAACAATTCCTTTTCTCTCTTTTTTTCTCCGTTTTTTTTTCACAGAATCGACACATTCATTTTTCATTCCATTCTATGTTCTATTACCAATGCTCTCGTCGTTCTTCCGGAGATGAAAAAAAAAGGAATAAGTTTTCTCTATCTTTCGTTTTTTCTTCTCTTCTCTGGTAGTTTTTTTCTACTATGTCTTAGCGACAATCGTGTGTATTCATAGCTCGACAAGATCTTTTCTCTTATTCTAACACTATTCTTATCAGAATTACTATTATTACTCGACTAGTATGTTCAATAATGATCATAAATAACCATTACAGATATTTAAACAAGAACAAAGAACGCACGAAAATTTATATTGTAATTATCAATCTTCTCGTTTTTTGTCTTTCTTCATTCTAAATTATCACAATTATAAGAAAACATATATCATCAAAAATGTAAGTTATTTACTGTAGTAGTTTTTCTAATTACACTTGGAAAAATAATGTAAGCCATCAACTATCACTTTAACAATAAGTATCCTTAGGATATATAATCCTGAAAAGGGTGTACATATGGATTTCATATAGCCATACGCTTCTTTTTAATGTCACTCAGCGGCATTCATAGGCGAATATATAAAATAGGACATCGATCTTTTTCACATTTGAATTTCTAATAACAAATGGCGGGAAATCGACAGATAGCAATCGTGCTATTATCATGATCATCATCAGTCAATGATTAATATTTTTGTTCACGAGTGCCATGCAAAATGAAACCACTTAGTCTTTGTGAGAATAATTTTTGCGTGCATGTAAGCAAGCCAATCGATGTCTGTTGTGTTTATTTGTTTATTTGATTAATGGAAATATTGAAAAAAAAATGATCGTTTTCTACGATTATTTTCTTTCCTTTTATTAAACAACAAAAACAGAATAAAAAAAAGAAAGGCCTAAGCACAGAGCCGTCTCCAAATGTAAAAATACTCAACGATATAGAATGGAAATCTGCATTTTCATCATCAGATGAATGTATCGCCTCGAGTAGTACTATAGTCTTATAATCTGAACGACTCATCGAGTCATTATATTGACTGCCGTTAGAATGGAACAGAAAAGAAACGGAAAGCATGTGTGTCCAATTGTATATTGTAAGTAGTACCGATCTATGTGGATGTTATCAAAATAAACGAAGAAGAATTAGGAAATCTGTAAATAATTGGGCATACAAGGTCACATAATTGAAATGGACGCCTCGTGCAAGAACTATGTATTTATCTTGTAATCATCTTCTTAAGCAATGCACCATAATTGTATTCTACAGCTAGTCTACGCATCCATTTTCATTTCTCATTAGATATAACTTGATACTTATCATAATAATCATGTTCTTTTTTTCTGGTTATAAATGCGCTACATATTCCAAACAATATAACTTCGAAAATAACGACAACACGGTAGTTTTTTATCTAAAGAATATTACTACTTGAGAGACCCATTTAGCTATCAATATTAAAAACAACGGAGAATGCCTGGAATGATTATGATTAATATTATGCATTTTTATTTCAGATTTTAATTGCATTGGAATGTTTTATTATTGATAACAATCGTGATGTTTTATATTTCAAGATAACTAAATATTAGGAAAAAAACATACATCATCCGATGTAGGATGGTCGTATGGCTACGGCCGGAATACATCCTGGCATTTGTTACCAGTTTGTACTATTGCTCTCAATTAGGTTTGTATCATGAAATTATTCGATCGGACATCTATCTATCATCATGGGAATTTTCCTATTCATCCGAGTGTCATCTCGAAGTATTTGATTTTCATTTCGACATTACGAGGGAGTATTTTCAAGTGATCAGTCGTTTTTGTACGGAACGCTACTAAATTTCTAGGATTATCGATTACGATGATTTTTAATATGACCATAAGTTTTCCCCTAAGCTTTGTGCGTGTGTGTGAGAGTTTCAGAAATGACAAACATTCTGTCAACATTATTTTTTGATCCCTTTAGACTATAATGCAGGTCATATTGTCCTAGATAATAGGAACTTTCTCTATATCGAATGTTCTATTTTATTTTTGGGTAGAAGCATGCAATCATCCTTACTCATACAATAGCAGCATATTCATATTTCATTGTGATCCTTTGCGAAATGACATTTGTTTTTTAGTTAGAAGTAATGTTACGAAAGCTTTTATGTCCAATGAACGTCTATATCTATGTAAATGTAAACTAATGCTTACAAATTGACTAGATAGGAAGCTCGTATATAAAGGCCTAAAGAGTTTTCTTATAGTCATAGTGGAAATTAACATGCTAGATAACTTTTCGCTTCATGAGCTTTTAGCAAAAAAGACGCTATTGTTCTTTTGAAAATATTCTTTCATCATGTTCTTGAATAGAAGGTTGTTTTTTCTTGTTCCGTATGATTATATATAAAGAAAAGTTCGTCTAGATTTTATTTTTAGAGAAAAACATCAGAAATTGAATTCTTTGTGTACTTTGTTTTGAAAGTGTAATCTTATATTTCTATAGTTATTTATAAGAACTATCCATTGAGTAAAAAGTAATTAAAAACTTCATTCAAACATATTCTAAGACTGGTTTGATATAGAATTTAAAAACAAAACATGTATTCAAAATAACGGAAGCTGTCATGCATATTTATTCGCGTTTTGAACATTATATTATACTATCAATCTTTCGAGTATTTATATTATTTGAGATAATTTTTGCAATTTTTACTTTTTTTCAAAATGATCTAAGATTTCAGACTCTATCGAGTGAAAAATGAAATCAAATTCTCTTTTACTTTAAATTAGTTCTGTCAAAAACTTATGATAAATTTTGGTGTGCAACTGCAGAAGGTCGCCATGAAATATCTTGCTTAGATAACAGAGCATTATTAACTGATGTAACAATAAATAAAGTTTATCGACGTGGACAATCATGTGAACCTGAATTTCACTCTGAGTATCTTGTTCATTGTCAATCGTATATTGATGGTTCCGCATGCGAAGGCAATAAAACGTGTATAATTGAAATATCCAGCCGAAATTTCTTACATTGTGAAGATAAAATATATACACCAACGTATTTCAATATAAAATATACTTGTGCACAAAGTAAAACAATAAAACAAAACAGGAATCTTCGAAATTGTAACAAAGAATGTTTTTTTTTCATGTTTTCTTGATTAGTTCATACAATGTGTACAGATACAGAAACCGTTCGAAATACATTACATGGATTTATTTTATCGCCAGGTTATCCATATCCGATGGCTGATGATCAAAAATGTTCGATTACCATTGGTATTTAACATTTTTTCGTTGCCATTAAAATATTTATTTTTCTGTTTTCTTTAAATCTATTCTCAGAAGTTGATCCATCGATGTATATTGAAATATCCCCAATTCAAGTACATCTACAAGAAGCAATTAAATGTCGCGGAGAATACATTGAAGTACTTGGCTACAATCAACCTACGGACGATAATAGTATCGGTAAAAGCGATAATTGGAAAGAATATCACACATGGTGTGGTTCTGACCATTCAGCAAACAATCCATCGTCTAATGCACGCTATCTTATTCCATCGAATTTATTATATTTATCATTGCAAACAACTAACTCTAGGGAGTCAAGATATTTTAAAATTCGATATAAAGGTAGAATAATGATTGGAGAATATTTTAATACAAGTGTCTGTTCCTTTTTATTTTATTTCGTATTAGTTGTTCCACCTACTGCACGCTGGCAATATAATTCGGATGGAGCTCCTAATGATGTATCCATCACACTACATAAGCCTTCACTAATGATACCAACAACAGCTATTGTTGCAACTAAAATATCAAAATCATCATTGCATAATAGTGATGTCAGAAATTCAAATGAAACATTAACAAAACGAACAATGAACACAGGTTAAGAAAAATAATTGTGACGATTTGTTTTTGAAAATTTATCTATTGTAGAAATTCTTATTGGAATTATTGCTGTTGTGATAGTTCTTCTCATTTCAATTGTTGTTGGTGTTATTATATTTATTTTGATCAAAAGGTAATCTGGGCAAAAAACAAAAAATGACTTATCAGGCTATCAATCTCTTGGGAGACGACGCACATATCTGTGCTATAGTTTTAGCATAGATGTAATACTCGGTATTATATAGAAGCAACGTAAAAGTATTAACGCTTATAAATACCGAGATATTGATGTGGAATGCTTTAGAATCAGTTTGAGATTTCTAATTTCCCGAGAAATTTCTCCGCCAAAAATCTATTGATGTTTTCTATACTATTTAGACGTCGATCTTCCTCTGCATCCAATTCAAGAAAGAAAAATTCGCCTTCAACGATAAGTAATACTGCATCTAAAACAACTGTTAAATCACCTGACAAAGCACCACTACTGGAAAAAACAAATAATTCATCTTCAAATATGACAAAACAAAAGTTAGTTCCTGAACGAACCGTACAAATAGCAGATGTTACTACATCTCGATTTAAACCTAATGAATCATCCGATATCAAACCCGGTTTAACAAACTCCGAAAATCCACCATCTAAACCACCATTAACTGCCGTTGACAGTGGTATTTATGGTGTTGATCTACCTCAAGATACAATTATCGTATCGAAATCTCCATCGCCACCATCATCCGATCAATTGAAAGTTAATTTTGCTGATTTGCCTGATGTAATTGAATCATTACCAACGGTTGCTGTTAATCCGCTAAGTGAAGATTCAATCATCGCTACACCAATAATTTCGAATGAAGTTGAACAAAATGAATCTTTAACAAATGACAATGAAGAAAAACAAACTCTTTTAAATAGCACCATTCAGGAAAATGCTTGTTCCCAGTTAATTGATATCGCATCAAGCGAAAGTGATGGAACACTTTGTGGTAGTGGATTACAATCAAGACGAACATCAGTTGCAAATCAACCATTAGATTTTCCAGAAACAACTGACATAGAAACAGCTGTTATATCCGATGAGACGCAATCATACGTACGCCATCCAATCCCATTCAATCCTTTACACGTGATATTACAAAAAGATGCGAATAAATATTATACAACAGAATATATTTAACTTTTTTTTAACTAGTGTAAAACTATTGCATTTAAATGTTACTTTCTGCAAAAAACAAAATTATTAAATGTGAGTTGTAGGATCGTTTGTTTTCCTCTTTATTTAATAATAAAATTAACATTGAAAATTTGAAAAATTTGTTCGTCTTTTATTGAAAAAGGATCTTTAATGTTTTCCGAATACATTTTCGAATACTTCGAGACTATGCGTTGATACAAACCATATTTCTTCAAATGCATATCTGATAGCTTCATTTGAAGACATTAGTGAATTATTTAATATATCAAAAAACAATTCCGCTATCATTTTTTTATCATTAAAAAATGCACCTGTTCCAATGGGTCCTAATAGTAAATATGTATTTTTACCATCTCCTTCTGTATTTGCAACAGCTGAAGCAATTATAGCTTGAAATTTTTGATGAGTACGATAACGTATTTGTTCTTCATCGTTACGTGACGGTGGCATGTAGAGACCTTCTCCGCTAGGAGACAAGTCATAGCCTTAGTCAAAAAAGACAAAAAGAAAGTGATGATACACAAAGATTTTATTAATAGCATTTTACTTTGCTAATTGATTTTGTAGGAAGTTATGATGGTAAAAATGAGGAAACGCTGTCAGTGGCAGAGAAATGTTTAGAAATCAAATAACTTTGACGCTTTTCCTCACCGGTAATGGCGCAAATAAATCAAAGAGAAGAACTGCGTAACTAAAGTAACTTCCTATTAGTAGAAGTACTTGTCAAATTTCATTTAACAAGATGCAATGAAAGACTCTCGAAAAGTAGGTAGTATCGCTTTTCTAGATAAATTCGTCTAATAGAAAAAAAATCAGTTCTGACATGATTTTCTGGTACCTATCATGATTACCCTACTACAATCATTATACGAGTGCAATCAATCATATTACGAGTGCAAAGTCCTTCCAGAAAACATAATACTCAGCTATATGACCATTTACATTGTGTTCTTAGTATCAAGTTCTGACAATTGTCACGAGTTTTTACCACTAAAATTAGTTCATAATCTTTCAACATAAAATTTCTCTTAAATTTTATGTAGATTTTATGCTGAAAGATTAATTTTCTTCTAGCTGTACTTCAAGTAAACTATGGAAATTTAACCGTAATTGTTTGATTTTTAGTGCAATTCTTTTTTTAGAAATTATTGTAATTCTTCAGTCCGCTAAAGCATTCGTTTTCTGCGAAAACTATTTTGTATTATAAAATCTTGCAACAATTTACTCCGCATAAAAAGTTTCAATTAACTTGAGCTCATATTAAATCAGCTAAGCATCCTCGAGAAAAATTCGTTTAGATAGATTGATTTTTTTCGCTAGATTATCAAATAATCGTTGAGTTAATCACAACCTTTGCTCAAATGATCAATTACGAGTTTAATATCTATCATTTTTAACAAGCTTGAATCGATTCTCACATAAGAAAGTCCATTTACGATATAACTGTATCAATAATTATTACACTTACAAGCAGCAACGATCACATCTGTAAGACGCTCTTCATTGGTTCGTTGTTGGAAAAATCGTACACGTTTTATATAAGCAACTCCATATTCAGGCAACATATAGCCTCCATCCATCATTGTATATTTCAAATCTAATAAAGCACGATAGCCATCAGAATTATAAAGAATAACCTCGAAGTAAAAAGGAAAAGGATAACTTGAAAATGAATTTAAAGAAAACATGGATTCTAACTTCTTCTTGTGTCATTGCATTTTCAAGATAATAACCACCAGGCATACGTTCATCAGCAAAATCCAATACAATCACTTGTTTACCGTTAGGAACCTGAAAAACAGCATCTTGAATGCCCGATAGAATAAAACTTATTTTTCCAGTATGACGCCGTTCATAAACCGGTTTGGCTAATAGAGAATTTTTTGCATCGCTATCTGTTTTTGCATTGTAATCAGCACAGGATACAAGTGTTTGAATTTGATTATAATTCCAATAAATTTTAAGCTCATTCGGTTGAAAACCATTCAAACGATATCGAGATATATATTCACGAGATTTCAATGGACCGAATGAATTGGTGGGTATTTTTAATTGCCAATAGTTTCCTAGATCTTCAGCCTGATTCTGTTTTTGATATAGTTCAAATGAATTTTTTAAATGAAGATATTTTTTTGAAACGAAGGTCCAATTAAAATTTGGATAACATTCATAAATAAAATTCAATAGTTGTTCATTATTTGATTTTGATTGAATTGACAATAGAAAGTAAAGCATCGTTCGACGACTATGATGACCATCAACTCGTTGTATCCAATTGTGATCTTCTTTCGGTGGCAATGCAATACTTATTATTGAACATATATCAGATTTACGTAATGAATCTATTGGCACAAACATTCGTGTGTCAATTATTTGTTGCCGTATTAATGTTGAACAAAATAATAGAAAAATCAGTGCTATATAGAAAACGATTGTATACATTTTTTTTTATGTCAGCAAATAGCTATCGAATTAAAAATAATGCACAATGATTGAGCGCACAAATGGATAATTATATGAGCTCGCATAATAATGACAACCTCATACGATTTTACTCATTGAATATTGAAGTCCTTGTTGTTACATCATGAAAAAGTTAGCACCTGTTGAACTATTTTTCATTCATTTATCGAGACTATTCATTTTCATTGTTTAGTATTGTGAAGGTTTAAAATTTTGTTTTACTTTCTAGTCAAACAATTAGTCAACGAGCCTATTTTTCTATACATAATAAAACACATTAACTTTGAATTCATTCTTCACAAACAATAGAAGTCATCGTTTCTCTCATCGATCAAATGATTTATTTCTATGTATACCTGAATTGTTCTTTGTGGTCCAAATATGACCGTAATTCAACAATAGGTAGAAATAAATCATTCAATCTTTGAATACTGTCTTTTTTTTATTCTGATCTTCGCACCATTATTTTTGGTTTCATTTGGAAAAGAAAAAATAATTAATTATAACTATCAACGAATTTTCTTTTCTTCTGATTGCTTTCTATCATGTCGTTACATCGTTCTATATTCAATACCGAGAAACTTTTATGATTGAAGCAGAAACAGCACCTGAAACCTCTATTATTTGGAGTATACGCCTCTCATATGATGGCTTATTATTATTTAACTAATCGGCCGGCATGGGTTGATTGCATTCTAAATAGTCTAGGTTTTCTCTATATATGAACGCCATGAAATCTCCTTAAGTGAAGAAATATAATCTTGTCTAATGCTTGGACTTATTTAGTTGGAGAAAAAGTAGCAAGAAAATCAAGTTTTCATTAATAAGCAAATGAAATTCTCTCTCCCAGAAAATTGCAAGATTAAAATGATTTTCAGGCAGTGAATGTTGTATAAACATAACCAGTTTTGTTGAGTTTCCATAGAATTCTTTTAATTAGAAAATCGATAATGAGACATTTTCATAGATATTTTACGAGCAAAGGTGAGAAATATTTGATGTTGCATGCTTGCTTATCATAAAAAGCGATGGAATGATAATTGTGCATATCCCATCGTGGCTATTCGGTCAGAGTCGACCATCGATAGAGCTTGATCATGATCAATCATAAATAAATTCAAAGTTAATTACTCAGAAAACTATTGCGGATAAAGCTGAGCGATATGGTTGTGATGATCACGGATAAAAATATAGCATGGCTACCGTGAGACTGAACTCTGTCTTTCTTCGATATGTATTAGAGCAATATTAAATATGTCATGTATGATGGAAACTATAATTTATCCTAAGGGATCTAAAGCAATCATCAACATATTGTCTTGCCTGAGACCACTGATTAATATACCGACATCTGTCAATACATTTATCTTAAAAATTATTTCTTTTAATTTTGCAATGTTATACTTGTAATCTTTTCTCTTTTTTTCAATCGATACTGCTTTCGAGATAGACAGGTAAAATTTTAGCAGTGCATATCATTTGAAGTGCTATTTTGTAACTGAATAAAAGACTCTCATCGGCAGAGAAAATTCAAGAATTGATTATCAATGTTTTACCCTCGAGATGATTGTGACATAGCTAACTACTTTTGATGTTTCAAATAAATAGAGAACTTGATTCTCACAATAAAATATCTTATACGAGAAAGAATTCGCATTATTATTCGAATTATTGAAAATTTCATTTGGGCACAACAATTCTATTGAATTCCAGCTATTGAAGACGACGAAGAATTACAATTAGAGGCGTCAGGTTAGCATTAAAAATGAAAATAATGCATTGGTGTATTATGGAAAAGAAAATACTTAATGCGGATTTATTCACTAATTTATCATTCCTAACACCGATATTAGTTTTAATTCTAAAGATTTATTATTCATGAATTTTTCTGGAGAAATAAAGCAATGTATTATTTTCACTTTTAATGCTAACCCGACACCTCTAATTACAATAGTTGATGATTAAGGAAATAATCAAATATAATTTAAACAAAGTAATTCGAAAACGAATGAATTAACATTATGGGAACATCGACATATATAAAGATCATTTTTATTATCTAAGGAAATTGAATAGCGTAGGTTTTTTAGAAACAATAATAGGCATAATACGTAGTAGCAATTCATAAGCACTCTTACTGTTGTGAAAAAAGCAAGAATAAATGTCTGGAAGTATCAATAGATAAATGGTTATTGACAAATAATTTACGTGAAATAAATCAAAGTGAATTTTCTCTTTGTTCGCAGTGAACTCTATGGTATAGAATTTTCGAGTAACAATCAATTAAAATCCATCCGGTTTCACAGTTTTATTTTTAAAACGATTATCAGTGATGGTCACATCAAATGTTTTTAATTTTGCAAATGAAGAAAATAGAACCAATATAAAATATTAAACAGAACAAAACTAACTGGAAATACAATACGAGCAAAAGCATCGAGTTTACTTCGACTATTTATACTCAATTGTGGTGTTCGTTTACGTATGTAACGTTTAAAATCTGTATTACCTGAAATACAATACCACAATTGACATAAATAAAGGTAAATATTTCGTAATCGTGAATATTTATTTATTCGAAATCTTTTTCCGTTTGAATCAGTAATATAAGGATAGTGAAATGATGGACGACCAAAAGAATTTATTCGTGCTCCACTATCCTCATTGAGTACAACACTCTCTAGGGAATCTGTAAAATATGTCAATGGTTCACCATAACCAAACTATAAAAAAGATATGAACTATTATCTCGGATAAGCATTAAATATAATCTTACTTTTGTAAAATAATGAACAAATGAAAATTGAAGTAATGAAGCAAGTAAAAATGCATGAGTCATCATAACAAACCAATCGAGTGCTGTAAGATACGGAACAGCAGCACT